GCACACAAAGGAGACTTGCTATGACATAATCGGCTGGCCACCACGTGGAGAGCGCAAGTCAGGACAATCTGATCGAGGCGAGCGCAAGCCGCGACGTGAAGGCACTCCACGGGCAGCTCAAGTCGAGGGAGAAGCAAGCCCTGTCCCTGGTTTTTCACTTGCTCAACTGGAGCAATTGCGGAAGTTCTTCGAGCACCCTAAACCTGCTGAAGATCCCTCGGCAAGTATGGCAGGTACGACTCTCACCAGTTCTGAATGGTTGATTGACTCGGGGTGCAATGAGCACATAGTAGCCGATGCTTCGTTGTTTTGTGATGTGATATCAAATGTTAATTGCCAACCTGTCCGGATTCCCAATGGCGATCGTGTTCCTGTTCAGCAAATTGGTTCTGTTCGGCTCCCGTCGGGGCTAGTTTTAGACCGTGTTCTCCATGTCCCACAGTTTCGGTGTAACTTGTTGTCGGTCAGTCGGCTTGCACAAAACAACGATGTGTCCCTGACTTTTGTACGTGACCTTTGTCTGCTCCAGGACTTACGCTCCAAGAGAGCGATTGGGACGGGTGAGCTACGAGATGGGCTCTATCATTTGAAGCTCTTTACGGAGCATGAGTGCGCTGCAGTTGCTGCTGGTCGTGGGCGCCAGGTTGTGCAGGAGAGGTGGCATGAACGTTTGGGGCACCCCTCCTTGACTCTCATGTCACAGCTCAGTTCAGTTCTTTCTTTTACTGTTACCGAGACTTCGGAACCTTGTCATCCTTGTTCTCGTGCTAAACAAAGTCGGTTGCCTTTTTCGGCTAGTTCGATTAAAACCACGGATTGTTTTGAATTAGTTCATATGGATATTTGGGGTGCTTATCAGCAACCGTCTCTTAGTGGAGCTCATTACTTTCTGACAATCGTGGATGATTTTAGCCGTGGTGTGTGGGTGTATCTCGTTAAGTTCAAGTCCGATGTTGGTCGCTTGGTTATGATGTTCTGCGAGATGGTTCGTACCCAGTTTAATAAGCAGGTTCGTCGAATTCAGGCTGACAACGGCCTCGAATTTCAGTCCATGTCGCTGCGTGATTTCTATGAGAAATCTGGGATTCTTCTGCAGACCAGTTGCACCGACACCCCTCAGCAAAATGGGGTAGTCGAACGCAAGCATCGTCACATCCTCGACACGGCCCGAGCACTTCGGTTTCATGCAGGTTTACCGGTTCGTTTCTGGGGAGAGTGTGTGCTCACTGCCGTATATTTGTTGAATCGGCTTCCCACTTCTGCCACCGGTAAGACTCCATTTGAAGTTTTGTTCGGGCGGATCGCTAAGTATGATCATTTACGCGTGTTCGGCTGTCTTGCGTATGCAAAAGACACCCACAGTCATCTACACAAGTTTGCCGAGCGAGGTCGTGCCTGCATCTTCCTCGGATATGCTGCTAGTCAGAAGGGATATCGCCTTTTTGACTTAGACGCCCAGAAAGTGTTTGTTTCACGGGACGTCGTCTTTCATGAGTCCCATTTTCCCTATCGTGCCCAGGATAATGCAGCCTTTCATTGGCTGCCGTCGGATGTGTTTTGCGATGACGTCCCAGCTCAAAGCTCCTCCACTTTGCCTGCTCCCTTGGCCACCTCTTTGCCTTTGCAGTCGAAGTCGAGAGATGCCTCCAGCCCGCAGAAGTCGCCAGTTCCCTTGTCCGAGCCATCTCCTCCGCCCAGTCCGAGTCCCAGCACTGGCGAGGAATCGCCCGTTCAAGCCGAGTCAACCCCAGCGCCCGACGTTGGTGCTGCTGTCCCGCTCCGCCGTGGTGACCGGCCGCGAGTTCGGCCGAAGCACTTGGCTGATTATGAAACCAATAATGTCGTTGCTTCCAACATCAGGTATCCCTTGTCAAATTTTGTTGATTATGCTAATGTTACCCAGCATTATCGTTGTTTCCTTGCAGCCATCACTCGTGACGATGAACCGCGCACATTCAGCCAGGCGGTTCGTCTTGCTTGCTGGCGTGCCGCCATGGCCGCGGAGATTGCTGCATTGGAAAAGAATAAAACTTGGACTCTTGTGCTTCCACCAGAAGGCCGTCGTATCATCGACTGCAAGTGGGTGTTCAAGATTAAGTATCGCCCCGATGGGACGATCGAGCGATACAAAGCTCGGCTTGTGGCTAAGGGATTCACCCAGGTTGAAGGTGTCGATTTTCACGATACATTCGCTCCAGTGGCTAAGCTGGTCACTGTTCGCTGTTTGATCGCCGTTGCTGTCCAGCGCGGCTGGTTTCTGCATCAGTTGGATGTCAATAATGCCTTCTTGCACGGCGATCTGCAAGAAGAGGTCTACATGCGTCTACCTCCAGGTTTTGCAGCACCCGGGGATCAACGGGTTTGCCGGTTACACAAGTCCCTCTATGGTCTTCGTCAGGCTTCGAGGAACTGGTACCAGAAGTTCACGACTGCCTTATGTGAGATGGGTTTTCGGTCGTCTCCAGCCGATCATTCACTGTTTGTTTATCGTCGAGCTGACACCTTTGTCGCTGCCCTCATATATGTCGATGATGTTATCTTGGCTGGTAATGACCTCACCTTCATCAATCAGGTCAAGTCTTTTCTTGATCGTCAGTTCAGTATCAAGGATTTGGGGCCCCTTCGGTACTTCTTGGGCATTGAGGTTGCCCGTTCCCCAGCAGGTGTCGTTCTGAGTCAGCGAAAATATGTTTTGGATATTCTTGAGGAAGCTGGCGTCCAGGGGGCGCGCCCGAGTTACTTTCCCGTTGAACAGAACCATCAGTTGACCAAGCCTGACGTCGCCGAGCCTCTGGTTGATGGGTCTTCCTATAGGCGCCTTGTTGGTCGCCTCCAGTACTTAACTGTCACTCGTCCGGATATCACTTATGGTGTCAATATCCTGAGTCGGTTCGTTCATGCTCCTACTCAGGCTCACATGGATGCTGCAGTTCGTATTCTTCGTTATTTGAAGCAGTCTCCTGGTCAAGGTCTTTATTTCCCGGCAAATGGTTCGCTGGAACTTAATGCTTACTGCGATGCCGACTGGGGAGGTTGTCAGAGCACGAGGCGGTCCACTACAGGCTTCTTCATTACCCTTGGTTCAGCTCCCATCTCCTGGCGTACCAAGAAGCAGAAAGTTGTTGCCCGGTCCTCAGCCGAGGCTGAGTATCGAGCCATGGCCAGCACGGTTAGTGAAGTTCTGTGGCTTCGCTGGTTACTTCGTGAGCTTGGGGTTTCCTCTACTCACGCCACTCCCCTGTACTGTGATAATCAAGCGGCTCTTCATATATCCGCTAATCCCGTCTTCCACGAACGCACTAAGCATGTGGAGATGGACTGTCACTTTGTTCGAGAGCGTGTTGTTTCTGGTGATATCGCTCCTCGTAAGGTTCGTTCCGAGTTGCAGCTTGCAGACATGTTTACTAAAGGATTGGGCACCGATCGTTTCCAGTTCTTGCTCTCCAAGCTAAACGTTCGTGACCTCCACCGTTCAGCTTGCGGGGGCGTATTGGGCCGAGCCGAGTCACCGCATGCAGCGTCAAAGCCCACGTCCGAGTCTGTGCCCGAGACAGCCCATGCATCTGTTGCTGGGCATGCTGCTTGTTGCGTGACGACTACGTCACCGTCGTCGTGTGGGAGAGGGAGTGCTTTTGTAACCCTAGCTAGCTCAACATATATATGTAACCATGAACAGCCGAAAGGCTAAGTGTGCAAGTAATAATAACATAAGAAGCTGGAGAGGCTGATCTCTCCCGTGGACTAGTCCCGATCAATCGGGGATACCACGTAAACACCGTGTCTTTCCCTTTTGCTTTGTGTGACTGATTCGTACGAGTTCTCATAATGAGAAGAGAGCGTTTGGAATTTTATAATTTTCTTGCAGGATGATCGGTTAAAACGTCCTGGTTGGGGGCGATTTAGTACTGTTCTTAGGTGTCTCTCTGTGTTGCTTGTATCTTCTATTTCGATACGAATGTGTAGCAGAAGAGATTGTACATGTTTCACGAGATACCATCTCTCGTGCATGAATGCCTCTGTTTAAGATTGTCTGCAGCTCGAAAAATGGCCGGCGAGATGCATCTTCATTCTTCAATCATGCCTTACTGTTGTTTTGGCTGAGATGATAATTGGTTCTATGATTTGATATTTAGGGGTCGTTTGGAAATTGAGATTCTTCAAATTGATGTATTAGGTCAATTAGTGTATTATCATTTGATGTATTGATTCAATGCATGTATTAGGAAAATACTTTGTTTGGAAGAGCAATGATGAAACAAAAAGTAGGGTAGACAATCCCTCATTAACAATCTCACCTTTTAGTAGAGATTTATAATCATTCATTTGGAGTGATTGTAGGTGGGCCCAACAAAAAGGTAATGCATGCATTCTAACTCAAAGTGAACCAAAAAAACGACTTAATCTTATCATTACATGTATTTGCTAAATACCTCACTTCAAATCTCAACCTCCAAACGACCCCTTAATGTTGTAGTTAAGTACATGAAACCTCAATGAAGGATCAGTGAAATCGATAGTTTGTAGAGTAGATGTCTATAGAAGCACTCCGGCAGCACGATTTGATGTGAATGGTACTAATTGTTAATGAAAAACATGATTTCAAGTCCTTTACATGGAAGGCAGAACAAGAACCCTAAGAACTAAGTTGCGATTAACATCCATGATTCTCCACAAACATTTCTACACAAACATTTCTACGATTCGATGAAAGTTGATCTCCGTCCTAAGCCTAATCAAGAATCACTTGAGGCGATCTTTTCCTGATGTGATCACATCTACCCTACAAACAAAAAACAACCCACCAGCTAACTAATAATGCTAACAAAATAACAAACTAAAAAAACTAAAAAAGGATCCGAACTCCTCGCAGCAGCGGGCCAACGTGCATGGGCTTCATGTCCCGATTCGGCAGCCTGATCGCTCGGGCCGATCTTCGGCCCACGATCCCCGCAACAAGCAAAAGTGGAAGGGAGGCGGCCTACTTCGGCCTACTTCTTCTCCTAGAAAGTCGCCGGAGGCGGCGGTGAAGACCTGGACGACGGCGCTCTCCCGTTCGGCGGCCACATCATCTCGCTTCGCGGTGGCGATCGCCCTGCTCTGCTGTTCGGTGGCGGCGGCCACATCATCTCGCTCCCCGCGTGTCGCCCCCTGCTGGATGACGGTGACGGCGGCGTGATGTCACCCCATACGATCTCGTTTCCTCCACCGGGAGGAGCCGCCGCCACCGGAGTCCTGGACAGCGACGGTGGCCTGCAGTTCGGCGGCCACATCGCCTCGCTGTACGCCGGCTGCAACACCCCGTCGCCAGACGAATCTCCTTGCGCCCCGCCCGCACCCGAAACCGCCGGTGATGCCGTCGCTTCTCCACCACCGCCTCCGCCGCCGGCGGATCCGGAGCTCCTCCCCTCCTGCTCATCTACCCCGGGCAGCCTGTGAAAACTCGGACTACTAAACGTCGCCCCGATGATAAAAACCGTCCCCGCCGCCACCAAACCCCCAGCCACAATGCCGCCGACGATCTGCCCCTGCGGCCCCGCGAGCGAAATCGAGAACGAATTGGGAACCGGCGGCTGCGCCGCCCCCTGATAAGGGAAAAAAGTGGCGGAGACGGAAAGGATATCAAATCTCCCATGGAAAGTTACGGTGGCGCCGGGGGTGGTGGACGGCTGACGGAGCGTGACGTTGGCTACCGTGCCCGAACCCGTGAGGACACACAACCCGATGTTCTTGCGGCGGCAGAACCGCGCCACCGCGTCGACGACGTCGCCGCCGCCGGGGATCTCGAGGATGTAGGGGCTCATCGGCGGGTCGGACGGTTCCCGCGTGATTATGACCGGCGGCTTCGGCCGGTTCTTGGATCCAGGCGGCCGGCCCCTCGGCCGCCGCACGACCTCGATGGTGGCGCCGTCGCCGGCCGAGGTGGGTTCCGCCTTGGAAAGGGGTTGGGCGGGAGGCGGCGTAGGTTCATCGGAAGTTTCCTCGAGGTGGAAGTGGTGGTGCTGTGGGGGGAAAGGGTGCTGCTGCTGATGGTGGTGAGAATGGATCTTGGAGAACATGTTGGTGGGTTCATGCTTCTTCGCCGGAGGAGGAGGAGGATGAGGTGAGTGGTCTAGATATTCCCCTTTCATGGGGTTTTCTTCTTTCCCTTTCTGGAACTCGGAAAGGGATGTTTGGGATTTGGATTTTGGATTTCTTCTGGAGGTGGTGAGGTGGGTTTTTCTCGATTAGTTTTTTTTTTTGGTTTTTTGTTGGGTAGGGGAGAGGGATGAGATTGGGGATAAGCTTCCTGCTTGGGAGATGTGAATAATCAATAATAAAGAAACGGTCTTCGGTTGAAGATTGGGGCAGTAGAAGGTTGGAGAAGGAGGCCAGGTTAGAGAGAGAGAGAGGGGTAGAGAGAGAAGGCTGCTGGCTGGGCCTGGGTGTGGGTGGGAACTGGGAAGCACAGGAAGGAAGAAGAGAATTGGGGGGGGGGAATTGTTTAATATATAAAGAAAGGTGAGGGATGGGCCTAATGTCCGGCGGTGGGCCCGGCGACGGGTCGTGGGGGAATGGGTTTTTTGGGTGGATGGGGTTATTTATGGGTGGGCCGGTTGGAGCGGGTGGGGTCCAGAGAGAGGGAGAGGGGGTAACGAAGAAGTAAAGTACAAAGGAAAGGACTAAGGAGAGAGTCTTTGGACCGGTCTGATTAAGCTAGCAGGAGGATATTGCATTGCCACCCCTCGAAACCCGCCGGGTAACCGATCGGGCCAGTGTCCGGCGCCGGCTGTGGAGTTCCCAACTTCGGGTGGAAGGAAGGATGGCGCTCCCGAGGTTGATATGGAGCCAGCCAAGCTAGCTGCACTGGGTTTTCATTTCTTTGAAGGTTGGGATGGTTTGGCGTCGTCTAATTCGATGCCCTCTGACTGTTCGACGAAATGCCTAAAAGAATGCTTAATTAGTACTGCTTCTGCCCCCCTTCTCTTTTTTGACCGTTGCCGTGAGTGAGTTGGAGACGTTGTACGAGCTCTGTTATCAGAAGCTGAGCAGTGTCATTGGGCAAAGACGGTCATGTACGTACAGAAGGCTAATCAATTGATTGATTCCCTTGTGCAATTGGAGAAAGGGTTACCACTATCTCCTATCTCTTCCAACTAGCATTTTCCTTTTTGCAACAGATGAGGAATGCAGGAAGAATTCGAATATGCAGACTTTTCAGGGATACTAAGTAAATAGAGCCTCTTTTTGGACAGGGTATGGTAATGAATGATGATGTTCTCTTCTTCTTTTTGGGCATCCATGATGTTCTCTTCAATTGTCAAGCGCTTTGAGCTTTCATTATATTTATCTTCAGGTTCAGTTGACAATCAATGATTCTGGATCATTTTCTGATATGAAAAGATAATTTTGATGCAACATTTATGGGGTTCATAATGTCTCTACATCTCTTTACTTGTACTGATCCGTTTGATGTATCCAGTTTGAGGAGCTTTTGGACTCCTAGAGTGTCTTTCAACCTGGAACTCCTTATGCAGCGAAATAAAAGTGTAAGAAACATGAAAGATTCCTGGGTGGATAGATACTTTGTGCTTCTCAAGTTCTTCATTACTCATTAGTTCAAGTTTGCTGGTTACTCGCTGATGGACCTTGTTTTCTAGTCTCGTTCGCCTGTTCCTGCTCAGGTGTGTTTGAGTTGTGTGACTGATGACACACTGGCCACATTGAGCGCGAAGAGGTAAAAGTTCATTACTTTCTACCTTCTGGATGTGGGAACTGTCCAAGTCCTGGATTGGTCACTGACCATTCGTTCTTCGGCATCCTTTTTGCTGTTTTGCATTCTCTATTACTACGAAAGTGTAGTAGAAGAGATTGTAGAGGTTCTTTGAGATGCCATCTCTGGTGCTGCATAAAGGCCTCTTTTTCTTATCATGTCTTGCCGTGTTGTCGAAGTAATGTTGGTTTCCGGATTTGATATTTCATAGTGTGCTGTATTAGTTAGCCCTTGAAAGACCAAAGAAGAAGCATCAGTCAAATTAGCTAACTGCAATGTCTTCACATTTATTCTACTGGTGAAAATTGTGGTCAATAAGACGGATAGGTGAGAAAATCAAGTAACAGTTACTTGGGCTGCACTCAAGGGCTCGTGGGTAGGCATGAACTGACTTGAACAAGACTTTATACATCCAGAACTTAGGCACATGCCTTCTTCCACTCTTCCCTTGCATCCAAAGCTTTGCAAAATGATTGTGTTCATGGAAGTGGGTATGCACCATGCACCCATCTTAGTTTGGTATAGAAAATTCTCCTGTTTAGGTAGAAATTTGGATCTCAAAGTGTCTAAAGTGGTAAAGCAGCACATAGAAACCTCTTTATGTTCATACTACTGGATGTCTATAGAAGCATTTGGGCAGCTCAATTTCAATGAGATTAATCATGATCTCCAACAAAACATGATTTTATACCAAAAAGGGCCTTATGTCACAACATCTCCACAAATTTATTTGTGAAGGTCGCTCATTTCGTTTCATTGCCTTCGGTTGTTCCGCATAAAATATGTGAATAACGTTAAATGCTTTTTCTCCATAGTAAATGGATGCAATCTCATCCTACTGTTGATTCAAAACCAACCAATTATCAGAAAACCACGATTTCAGCATCAAGTATCATATTGCTGACTTTTCATGTACAACCTCCAATACGATTTTATATTTTATTGGTTAAAACTTCTCCTACTTTTTTCCCCCTTATGTCGAGGTAAGGTGCTTGCCAATGAGCAGGCCGTTGCTTTACGGGAAGATCTTCTTACTGTGGAGCCACAAGCTGGTCTTTGTCTTTCGGCATGCAAGTGAATTTTGCCAAAGTAAATCTGAAACAAGCAATTCTGTAAAAAGTAGACGATTTTGCAGCTAAACCGTGAAAAGATGGTTTATAGGTCAAAGATCATCAGCTCGTAAGTCGTAATAAAAGACCAGACGAACTTTAAAACAAATTTCTCGTACGGCGGCATTATCACTTTCCCACCGACGGACCTTTTCCTCCATTCGAACTCGGGAACGAAAAGTAAAGAGGGGGCGAAGCTCGAAGCTGTCGAGGGAACTACTCCCGTCGCCGTCGATCGAACGTTGAAAGTGAGGAGCTGAGCTAGAAGGAAATCAGAGGTAAGGTCTAAGCTCATCTGCTCTGAGAAATCGGCATTTTGGAGATTAAAGTTTGTGCCTTTTTGCCCCCCTTAATTTTTGTTTTCTAGTTGCAGTGAGATGGGTTGCAGTTCTTCGAAGCCGGCAGATCAGTTGGATGAACCTGGATTGGAAATCTCTAGGCGTCTTGCCGCGAGAACCCCGTGTGCGTAAGTTGCCTCTGGCGATGAACGATGTCATATTTTCTAAACCCGATGCTCTCTAACTGTTCGACGAAATGCTCACAAGAACACTACCTACACTACAGACATGAATTACTTACTTATTGGCCCTTCTTTCTGTGACAGTCACCGTGAATGAGGTGGAGTCATTGTATGAGCTATATAAGAAGTTAAGCAGTTCCATTGTGCAAGATGGTCATATACAGAAGGTAAATTAGTTTTGATTGATTGATTCCTTCCCTTGAGCCACTATCTCTATCTCTTCCATTGACAGTTTTTTTGCATCACATGGGCACTGCAGGAAGAATTCCAATATGCGCTTTTCAGAAATACAAGCAAACAGAATCTTTTCTTTGACCGGGTATGGTATAAATGATTGTGATGGTGCTCTCGTTCAATTGTCAATGGCTTTGAGCTTTCGTTACAGTTATCTTCACTTGCAAACCAAAGATGCTAGATCATTTCCCCCAATGTCTCTGGCACTCTTTACAGGTATTTGATATGTTTGATGTGAACCGAGATGGGCACATCGAGTTTGAGGAGTTTGTGGACTCGTTGAGCGTCTTTCACCCCAAAACACCTAATGCAGTGAAAATCAAGAGTAAGATATGAAAGATTCCTGGGCAGGGGTACTTTATGTTCCTTATCTTCATCATTGTTCAGAACTCCTCACACTTGCCTTGGGTTGCTCATTGCTCGAATGTTCTTTGTTTTTTATAAGGGTGACAGAATGTTCCTTGTTTCTGCTCAGGTGCATTCAAGTTGTATGATTTAAGGCACACTGGTTACATCGAGCGTGAAGAGGTAAACGTTCATTACTTGCTACTGTTGTTGTAAGGGGGGATGTGGCATTTTATGCGATTGTGAAGTGTTCTAGAGTCCAAACTTGCTGTGCCATTTTGGACAGTTGAAAGATATGGTACTGGCTCTGCTGAAAGAATCCGACCTAGCTCTCTCCGACGATGTCGTTGAACAGATTGTGAACAAGGTATAGAGAATGTCAGCCACGGCTGCTGCATAAACACATATTTCATCCAAATCATACTACTTAGTGTTTATTATCCATGTATGTTTCTTTTATACGCTGTCCTCCAGACATTCAATGAAGCAGATTCAAAAAGCGATGGCAAGATTGATCAGGAAGAGTGGGAAAACTACGTGGAGAAGAACCCGTCTCTACTGAAGAACATGACGCTTCCCTATTTAATGTACACTCTCGAAAACTCTCAGAAACATCTCTGCTGCTTGTTTGTACTTTGGCTAAAGTTAACAGTTTGGTTTTGGTTGTGGACATAAATGTAATACAAGTACTATCATTCTCCTCCAATTCGCAGGGACATAACCTTGTCGTTCCCCAGCTTTGTAATGAGAACTGAAGCGGACGAATCAGAACTATAACTCGATGTTGGAGTCCCAGACGCCGGTGGCCCTCACAGCCATACTTGAAGCTAGCTGTGTCTCAGCGTGAGATTAAGTGTTCTGCAGACATCCCGGTAAAACGTGGTTAGTTCGACTGCCAGGCAAATGTTTCATACTTCTTCACGGAAGTGAAGGGTTTGTGGAAGACTAATGGTAGTTCCTAAGCATAACTTTCCTCTTCCCTTCGTGTTTTTTAAAGTGTGCTGTGCCATGCAAAAGTATTGGATTGGCAGTGGAAACTAAGCTGTAAAAAAAGGATGCATATAGATTCCAATGTTGTGTGGCTTTCGAAGGCAGTTAGCTTTCGAACACGATTGTTTGTTGTACAACATCTGTAGATTGGTCTGTACTAATGACACTTTTTTACCTATAGAAACCTGCTGCAAATATCATTAAGCAGAATCGACGGTTACATCATCCTGTCGGACTTGATCAACGAGAATCATAGGGGTCTATCGACTCAAACAACACTCGCGCTTTACATTGTGCCATCTGACGAGCTGCTGAATTTGCTTCCCAGCGAGCATGCAGAATTAATCCTACCACTGGCGCACTCATGGAAGGTCTGATGCTGCTGCACATAGTACCACTGTCTGGCAAGTTTTGGCCTTCTTTCTCCCTGAATCGTCCGAACCAAAACAAGGCAATCTGTCTCCTCCATGAAAACAATGGAACTGAGTAGCCAGCCAAGTCAGCAGTCCAAGCTGTGGGGCTTCCATCCAATAAACCGCTGCCACGATTGAAATCCGGATTTACGCTTTCACTTTTGGAGTCAAAACGCTACGTTCCTCGCCAAAACGACCTACACTAGTTTAGTTCCCTACGTCTTCGTTCGAGATCTCTGTTTGTGCAAAAGCTGAGAACGGGAGGAACGGAGCAGAAGAATCTATGGTGCACGACGACGACGAAGCCCCACCGCCAGGGTGGCAATCGATCCCACCTCCGCCAGACCCATCGGAGGTAGAACCTGCTTCGCCACCGCCGACTACCACGCCGGGGGAACCTATGCTTCAGCCACGGTGGTCAGGTGAGCCGCCGTCTACTAAAAAAACTCGAATTAGGTCGAATTTCTCATCGTACAAGTTCCACGTAAATGAAACTTAGGCGGTTTATGCTTCTGTTAAAAATTGTTGTTGTCTATTGTGGGGATGCAGAGATCGCTCAGATGGTTTGTGGTTCATGCCAACAACTTCTAGCCTATCAGAAAGGGGAGAAGCATGTGAAATGCATTTGCTGCAACGCTGTCAACTTTGTGCTGGAAGGTCTCCTTCTTCTTCTTCTTCTTCTTCTTCTTCCCCTAGTGTTGAACTTTCATTTTCATATATGGAAATAAGCAACTACTACTCAATGTGCTTTGTTGGGGAATAGCAGTTAAAACGTGATTATAACTGTTGGGGAATAATGTGCTTTGTTTGTTGTGTTGTAGCTCACCAAGTTGGACTTGTCATTTGTACCTATTGTCCTCTGCTGCTTATGTACCCGTATGGATCTTTAGCGGTTCGCTGCTCCTCCTGCCAGAGGATAACATCAATCGGAGTATGTCAGACGACTCTTCATTGTGCTCGATTTATGCATATTAATTAGTATCCTTTGACGCATTTCAAACTGTGGTGACTGCTAACTTGTGATATGCAAGGCTACACATGCTTCGTTATACATGCCACGATAGTGTTTAAAGATCATTAATGATATCCTAGAAGAAGAAGTATTGAAGGGTGTATTCATTTTCCTCCTACTGCATATTCTCGTGGTAACATTTAAGGTCAAGATAAGCATTGGGTGGATGTTCCTCTACAGAAACATTTAGCTTCTCAAAACAAGTCTGGATTCTGGACTATAACTAGCAACCTGCAAAGCCTAAAGTACAATGTGGCTGACACTGATAGGCATTATTAGCAGAAGCACATAGAGACATAAAGACAATGAATTTTTTCGCATTATGGATGGTTCTTTAAGTTATGTTCTTTGTTTGGATGTTAATTGAGATGCTTTCATCTTTGAACTTGATAAACCGACTCTTGTTTCTCTAACCAGATTTATTGTACCGACAAGGCTTGACTGGGATTCGTGTATACATTATGTGCAGGATCAGAGCCATCGCCCGCTATGTTCTGTAATTCAGGGATTCCCTGCCCCACCTCCCCACAATCCTGTTCCGCTGACTAAGCCTACCTCCTAAAAACTGTGCAGCTCAGAAGGAACTGTGAAGAGTCTCCTCTGAAGTAGTGGTTTTGTGTAGGCTGCTTCTGTGACCAAGTCCAGAGATGTTATGAATGCCTATTGGGATTTCGCTCAGATGGTTAGCTTTAGAACTACTTATCTAGTTCTTTTGCCTCCAGTGGTGACCTGGCTCGGTGTCTATGCTGAAGGTGAAGGTGCAGTCTCTCTAGGAATTAAACTTTCCTGGTGGTGGTTAGAGTTGGGAACAATGGGCGCCACGAATCAATCTCTAAGAGGAACAAGATAAAAGATGCTTATGCTGACTGTCCTACAGCTACACGTTGGTTCATTGGGCTATGTTCAATTTAGTGCAGTGTCGGTTCTGGAAGAACTCTCGTGACTTAAAAAAGCTTATCTTGAACAGCAAGTAGAGTTATTATTAGAGTTCTCCTAAAGCAAACTAGAAAGGGAGCAACTTGTCCCCCATAGATTTCAGATTTGATTATTCATAATGTAAATATCTTTGGCTAATTGTCAACAGTGACAGCTGTCTATAATTCTATCGTCCAACTTAGATTATTACGTGAAATTGGCTTATTCTAGATTTTGCTGTTTTTTATTATCAGCAAAATGACAGATTATGTTTTTCCTTCATGAACATGTAGGGTAATCATTCATTCACTCATTAGCTAGCATCGCCAGGCCTGTATAATATCGACACAAGGACTTTCTGACACCTTAGAATAAACAATTGAGGCATACTAATCTAAGATCCCATTTAGTCTACTTGGATCACACTATGAAAGGATAAGATATGTTCACAGAAAGAAGAGGAATGGCTAATCATTCGGTTTAAGGTATGATTAAAAAGGCAAGATTTGGTTTAAGGTTTAATCATACACTAAACAGTAAACAGTAGGGATTAGCTTTCTTACTTGATAGTTTGAGAGAGAGTCGCAGTTCAATCCTCTGGTGGGAAGTCCTCATCGGAGGCGTCGTCCAGGAAAGTGCCCAGCGTTTTCTTTAGGATGCTGAACGTTTTGCCGTCCTGTCCCCATAGGCAACGAGAAAAAGTTAGATCATTATAATATGGCGACCAATTGATGCCCATGCTTGATTTTTTTGAATGGGCGGTGGGTGGACAAGAAGTTTCTGGGCATGCCTGCTTTTTCTTCTTGAGAGATTCCTCCAGTTTAGCAATCTTCTCCTCGCAAGCTTTCTCGTGGTCGGCTAGCATGCTCTTCTCTTTCTTCTCTGATGTATTGTTGACCCATAAAAACAAGGGAAATCAAAATTACTGATTTACTGTGCTGTAAATTTCGCGGAACTGTAGAAAGAGAGCTTACTCAGTTGTTCATATCGCATCATCAGCTTCTCCTTGTCTTCTTCAAATTTGGACATGGTATCTGCCAACCCAGTAAAGAAGCAAAGGGTTATGAGAAATCAGCGACAGGCTGAAACAAGGATCACCGCCATGGAAAGGGAACTGGGAAGAAAATGGATGGGGCAGAGAGGAGGAATACCTTGCATTGACTGCATGTGAGCTGCTTTCTCCTTGGCAAACTTCTCGTAGATGTCCTGAATCTTGGCAGACTCGCTCTTGATATAATTTTCGCACTGAAGTTTTTCAATTGACAAACAACATTAGTACCACAAGTCAGAGAATCTCCACTGGTCATTGACCTAATTAAGCACTCACCTCTTTCGAATTTTTCTGAAGCGCCTTACCAAAGCTTTGCCTGGAATAAGAACAGAAAGCATGGATGAATCTCTACACATCCCTAATTCGCAGCAGTAAGATAAGGACATCAGATGTATGAGTCTGACTTACCTATCCTTCTCAATTTTCGACTTCAAATCGTTGAGCATCGTCCTAATCTCAGAAGCAACACTATCAAAGAAACATGAACATATGAATCAAAGAAGAACGTAGAATCTCACACCGGCGTTTCATCTTTAAAATTTTGCCTAATTCAACAATCGAACTGATAGCCTTGGGGGAAACTCAAACGTTCTCCCGGAATTGGAAACCAGAAGCAACGGACGTAGGCAGAGTTTCATCCATGCTTTGAGTTCAATTCAACAGGCAAATAAAAGTCAAAGCAATGGAGCGAGAGTTTCCATAACTGAACTAGAAATCCGAAGCGAAATTCTCAAAATTACAAACAAGCCTTCGGATCTAAGAACCTCACGATTCTACGTCAACAGATCTAAGAAACTCGGTTTCCCCTTTCGTCGACAAAGAGGGGCGCAAAACCGAACAGTATTCTACTAATCGATTGAACATGATGAAGTTACCACAAACTCAAAACGCCGAGCAATAGGAGCCTCGTAACCACAATATCATCAGCTTGAAATTGCGATTCAGAATTGAAATCAAGTTACGAATGAGAAGCTACTGAAACTTCTAAACTACCGTATGTGCGAGATCCGAAGGATTTTTTTTAGCCAGTCGTCCTTGCAGTTCACAGAGTAACAATGCTCGAACAGAAACCTAATCTATCTAAACCAATTAACGATTCGACATTCATCAGAAGAGAAATAAACGAAACCTAGAGAGAGCTGAAATACCTGGAAATCGTCTCCTCCTTCTTCTTCTGGCCCTCCTTCTCTGTTTTCTCTCTGAACTGGTGCAGTGCCGACATGATTCCCTTGAGATCGCTGCAATTGTCATCGAACTAGTTAGGGAAACCATCGCGAAAACTAAATCACTAAAGGAGCACAGGAATGAAACTGTAATTAGACAGAGAACCTCGAGAAATCGGGATCGAAATCTTCCTGGACGCGGAACTTGGACAGCGGCGGCGCCGACTTAGCGGTTGGCGTAGCGGCCGCGCGCTTCTTGGAGCTTCCCTTCCTGGCTGACATTGCGCTGATCGGAGATGAAAATCGAGGAGAGAAAAGAGGGAGAAACAGGATTTGCTGGAGATGAAATGTGAGCTTTTGGTGTGAGCTTCTTCTGTTTGGCAGGGCAGGGGGGAGCGCGCGCTCTTATACCGCTTTCTTTACAATTTTTCGAAATTTTGAAACCTGGAAAAGTTCTGTTGCCCGGGGATGAGGATATTATTGGGTGCGGTGGTGTCCAGGATACGGTGCTGCTCGTTCAGCCTTCTTGGTACTCTACGTGGCATTTTACAGACGAAGCGGTTTTGAATATTGTAAGTAAATAATTATTAATCAATTAAAGTTTTTCAGGACCTGATTCATATTTTACTAAATAGTAAATACTGATTACAAGATTTGGAGAAAATAATATTGTTTAAGAACTTCCGGGATCCAATTTTTGACTTGCAAATGTATGGTCACCAAAGGTGTCTATAATTAATTGGCTTCTCTCTCTCTGCCAAATAATATAGTATTCAAATACAATGTAGAGTTAGGCGGGCTAAACATTTTTATCAACATTACCTAATCTAATGGTTTAACATTATTCGATAACTTTCTCATTTGTTGTATGTGTGCATGACAGGGACCAAAGTCCACTACATATTAATCTCCTTAATTTAATACTAACCCAATTATTTAATGTGATACCAAAGACTTCATTTTTCAAGTTTGCAATTTGCCTTGTTTTGTGATGGCTATTGGCTAATCAAATTATGAAGCGAGGAAGGATTTGGGTTTGTTGCCATGTTAATACGAATTGGTTGTTATCGTGATGAAATTGAGTCAAGTTTGTCTTTGAGGATAATTAAGTTAGAGAACACTGAACAAATCAGCTTGTAGTCCTATTTACAACATTGCCACATAACAGGGTGACACGCTTGAAGGATGGAGTGTATGCCATCTATTGGGAGCTGTCATCTCAAAGACGGATGTGTGTTTCCTTCGATTGGACTATTTTCTATTCTCCTTGTTTTGTAGTACTAAGAAGTAATATTTGACAGTAACAATGACGAGTTCATTAGAACGTTCGAGGTTAGAAGAGAAGACATGGTCTAGGAGAAATGAGGAAGGCAATTGAATTGTATATGTTGTTGTGAAAATGGAATATTTTCTCCCAACAAACTTCTATATGAAACTTAATCTAACACGACGTTTCAAACTGAGTTACAATTGTAACTTCGATTATTCGTCAACCGCGTAAGAAAATTTCCCAAGTTCAAACGTAGAGTTCAATCCAATAATCACCCTTATAACAGAAAACCACTATATTATGAAAATAATTTATCTAAACCTATGGCTTTTAGTTTTCTCTAACCAAACTATCAAGGAAACTGGTAAAGAACAACTGTAAGAAAAGATACTTACAATAATAGATTCTATTGACATCAATTTTTATTTTTTTCAGAAGAACAACCTATCGCTGCGGGTTCACAGTTCATCGTCAGCTACTTCTTTTGTGGATCCGACCAGCCTCATAAATTTTTTATGGTTTCAATAAATCACAAAACATTAAAAAAACGAGTTTCAAAGTTTAAACATTAAAATTCACTTGAAAAAAACCCTTTATCTTATTGTGGTTGGAGTAAGTGGCTACTTACTATTACCTAAATAAAAGTATTATATCAAGAAATAAACAACTCTTGTTATCACTTACCATTAAATAAAATTATAAACGATAATTTATTGTTAAGAAGCGGCACCTAGCCACCTAGGTTTCATATTTGCTTCAAAATTTATTATTAGTTATTAATACATCTTTGTATATTCTACCCAAAAAAAAATACATCTTTGTATATTACACGGAATGTTATTATGTTAATTGTTAGGTCCTACACCTTTGTAGGATGCGCAATTAGGGAGGTTTTTGTCCTGATTTGCTCTAATACCAAGTAATTCTCCGGGGCAAGAGACTTTTTATAAGAATCTGGGTTAGATAAATAAAATTATTTTATTTAAATAATTAATTGAAAGAGACTATTAAATTAATTAGCGTAAGTCCGCGTGACGAGCTGATCTTATGAGTTGACGCGAGGAGAGTGGGCATCACGCGCATATCGCGGTTAGTAGATACTGCCACGTCACCGCTCGCCGGTGGGATCCACAGTTTGCCTCCTCCGCCACTGGACAACGGAGGAGCTGGTGAAAGAGAGAGAGACAGAGACATAAATTAAAAAAAAAAAAAAAGGTCACGAGGGAATTATTCCTTCTATCTATAAAACCCCACAAACGGAGCCATCATCGCATCGCCATTGTTTCTCCTATTCCCCCGCCCGCCTCTCCGCTCCCAGGAAAAATCTCCCTCCGCACGCCGCCGGCTTGTTTGACCTTCCACCGCCACCGCCAATCATCTCCGTTCAGCTCCCTGACTCCGCTCCCTGCCTTATTGTTTCAGGTACCCGCCGGCTCCCTCTTGTTTCTTCTCGGATGATTAAATTCTTCTGTTCTGTTTCGGTTCTGCTCCGTTTGTGATTGTGGCGCTGTCGTTGTCCAATGGCGATCTGGAGGCCGTGGATCCCGGCGCGCCTCTGTTTGTTTATCACCGTTTCTCGAACTTGCGGATAGCGGTTTCCCGGCTCATTTAGTTTTTCGTTCATCCGGTTGAGGGAATTAGCTATGGTTTTGTGTTCCTCGTTTGATTTCTGTCGAGTAATCCGTCCGTCTACGATCTTGTTTATTCTGGATTTCCAGGTGAAATGAGATTGCCCCTAGGTTCTTTCGTTCATTCTGTTTGGGGGGGGACTTGATATTGTGTTTGTCTATTCGATCATGGTGGCTTGATTGGTGTGGTGATGGGGGGGTTTCAGAGAGAAAACTACTGTTTCCTGCAGGGAATCTGTTCATAGTTTTGTTCTCTCTGGTCCAGCCGTGAGTGAATGAGGTTCAAACCAAGCATCTAGTCTTAGGTTTAGAATAGGTGGTCACTGGTCATGTTCTAGGTTCATTGGTAGCCCGGATCTCATTTCCCGTTGCTGATTCGATTCTCGTTGGGGCTTAGAAAAGATTTTGACCTATGGTTTCTTATTGCTTGCTGGGCACAGGTTGTCATCCTAGAACCTAATGCTTACACTTAACGAAGAAAAATGGTTTCTTTCTTACATATGGTGATGGGTTTCTTGTTTAGAGACCATGTGGTTATAGGGAGCTACTGGCCAACCATTGACAAGCCCTCTAAAGAGGATGAGAAAGTTAGGTGTAACTGATTTGTTCCTCTGGACTTAGTTCTACCTTCCCTTAGGTTTCATTAACTCAGGTTTAATCGATTGGTAACGATCATCACTATGATTAACCATCTTCCTCGAAGAATTGAGATCTAAATCATCTAACCATGCGTGTTCATCAATTTCCGCCTTTCGGGTTGGGATCCCAAGTTCCTTGCCTCCATTACCTTCTCTAGCCATTCATGTGTGCTTCTGTGTGGGTCTTTATGTTCGATTTGCTCTGAAATTTCCATCCTTCATCTCGGTTTGGTAAATTTGTCTGGCTTTCCTTTGAGGTTTCATCCTACTGTTGTGGAAGTCAGTCTGATCATCCTTTCTCTGCTGCAGAGAGCCAAATAGTTGCTACTGCTGAAGAACGAATCTCTCCCAGTGGCCAATCAATGGCATTCCAGCAATTCTTCCCGCAGGAGTGGAAATCAGTGGCAAGTGCAGCAGCAGCCACAACAGCATCAGAAGAACCCAGTTTAAACGATGGCTTCGACTGCAACATCTGCTTTGAATTCGCCAGAGAGCCAGTCGTCACCCTCTGCGGCCATTTATACTGCTGGCCCTGCATCTACAAGTGGCTCCACGTCCAGAGCGCCTCCCTTCCTTCCGACGAGCACCCACAGTGCCCCGTCTGCAAGGCCGATATATCCCACACCACAATGGTCCCCCTCTACGGCAGAGGACAGTCTACAGAAGAAGAAATCGAAGGAAAGACCCCCAGCAGCAGTGCCATTCCCATCCCACCTCGACCTCCAGCCTGCGGTACCCAGGCTCTTGCAACCAGCAGCACTCAAACAGGTCAGCAGCTTCCTTACCGAAACCCTTACCGGGGCAACCACCACCACAATCCATCGATGGGGTACGCTAGCTTCGACGAAACTGCTACTTCCCCGTCGATGCCTCCGACCAGTTTCCAGTACCACCCGGGGTACGGAGTGCTCGGGGAGGTTGTGTACGCGAGGGTGTTTGGTAACTCTGATAGCTTACACGCCTACCCGAACTCGTATCAGCTTACGCAGAGTGGCGGTTCGAGGTTGAGAAGGCAGGATATACAGGCGGACAAGTCCCTGAGCAGGATCTCCTTCTTCTTGTTCTGCTGCGCTCTGCTGTGCCTCATCGTGTTCTGACCAGAAACCGGGCTGGTTTCGTTTTGGAAGAAAGCGTTTCCTTTGTATAAACTGTAAAGAAGAATTCAGAAACGGCTTGTGAAACTGGTGATGAATCCGCCATAGATTGAATGCCAGTCAAGTTATAAAGAGAAAGAGAGAGATTTAGCTTGTGATGATGACATTGCTGGTCATCATTTTTGTCCCGAGCTGAAGCTAGCCTGCCTGCCAGTGTGGATTGGACTCTTATCCTGTTGGCCACCGACGGGGTTTAGCTTTCATATCCAAGAATGTATTGGAAGTGATGTGTATATTAAAACGTTTGTGCAATATAATCTACAATTTAGTTCAGTAATTGTGTGGTCTGCATGTGCTAATCATGATTAATTTGGTATTTGACGATGCTAGTAAAATGAGATTGAGACTAGTGGGACGTGGGTAGTTGATTAGACTAGGTGTACATAGAGTAATTAGAAGTGGTGAGTGGTCCATAATCCATATTCCATACGACAAGACATCTTTTTGGCAATATCTACGACTTGTTTGGTCCACAAACTATAGTCATAATTCAATTGTTTTCACGTTTAGATTCGTGATCATCTTTTAGACTACAACAAGATCCACAACCTCATGTTCATTGTCTTAACTTTCTTGGTTGACAAGACCTGTGATAAGTAACCACATCCTAGGGATCAAGCTTAGTCCAAAATGCGTCGTTATCACTCTCTACATGTTTGTTTACTAGATTGTCGTTAGGGGGAAGGCCTTAGGTATTATCAGCTATTATTGAGTTGTCGTGGCCGAGAGGATAACGTCAAGAATGAGGTGCTTTCAAGTAATCTGGACCTATATTTTGTATAAAGGAATGAGGTTACCTACCTCCTTTTTTCTATATATCCTAAATTCCTAATGCACAAGTGATTATGTGATTGCAAAATTCAATATCATCGAATGTGATTAATTTTCAGAGATGTTGAGTCTCTCATATACATATTGTTTCATGCTAGACGACCCGATAATCTCTCTCCATTAGTATCTTTTTTCCATTATATATACAAAGCCATTAGGGCACTCCATGAAACAAGCAAGTATTTTCATGATAATCAAATTAGAGCTAGCTCATAAATATAAAGAGGGTATTTAGAGGAGTCCATAGGGCAAGTATCTTTTTGGAAACATCTAGGATCTTTCTAAGCCTTTAAACTAATGACACGCATAATGCAAACTTGGTCCACTTCTAGATTCGTGATAATCTTCTTAGCCTAACTACAAAGCCTGCAACCCCTAATGGTTGTCGGCAGGATTGCTATCGAATCGTATTATTATGCAAAATGCAAAGTAGATCGACTAAGTTACAGCTAAGAGTTTGGCCCTTGGCCTCTGTTCTTCCTCCCCAAATAATGGCGTTCTCAGACGGCTGTTACAATGTAATACTAACATAATGTTTATTGTTATTCCTCGTGTTTCCTGTCTAGTGTTTTTCATAGAACATTGCACAATTATTGAATGGATGTAGACATGGACAATGACAAAGACGTGAATTTTGTTATTGTAAACCAAGCTGGACTGATGCCCTATTGGGCATTCAGCTGACAGTGTGTTTGTATGATATTTGCAACTCGCTTAATTTAATGGATCCGATCAAGAAGAAAAAGAATAAATAATATCAAATTTATGTTCGACCTAATCCTGATTTGATGATGGGATGCTGGAAAATGAGGGTAATTAGTGGCGTGTCGCTTCCGAGCTATCGTTGTTTATGCGAGAGGGCGGAGGAGACAATTTCCCATCTCTCTCTGTCTCTGCCCTGAAATTGCTCGAGCCCAGATATCCCATTAAAGCCATTTTGCATAGTAATGTTCAAGCAAACTCCTTTCCCAGGAGCTTCTAAATTCGTCATCAGAGATCGACGGCAACACACATTGCCACCAAAACTGAGATTCAGAACCAACAAGTTTAAGTAAGGACTCCATTGCAGCAAGTTTCCCAGGTTCAAAACAAGAGCATTTGTTGTGGGCTTCTTCGCATCAACCCACTGACCATCACAAAAGAACCTGGAAGACCTCGCATTTGGTCCTTGCAGAAGCACAGTAAGAACGCTGCTGCCTGGTTCAGGACAACCCAGAAGCAGCAGCCTTCCGAGCAAAACCTATATTGTTAAGGTAATCAGGGTTCAGCCCCATTGCTGCAGAAAAACCAATTCAAACAACTTCCTTGCCAATCCCATCACTTGGCTTGAGTAATCAACCATTTGGTTTCGAGCAATCAACCATTTATGATATGCAGGTGAAAATTTATTAAGAAGCAACCCAGAATGGGACTGAGATACAAGGGGGGGAAAGCAGAGCCAGGAAACAGAAATCCCCATTACCCCAAAATCCAATTTCAGATCACACCTGCAAGATTAAAGCCGAGGATGCGTAATGGGTAGATATGCAATTTCAAAGCTTGGACAAGACTGGTTTGGAAACGCCCAAACCAAGGACGCCACAGAGCTCCGGATACAAACTCTGCCTTATCACCTTGTAAATCTCGCCGTCCCACTTCCTGGCCGCCAACTGCTCCGCCAGGCGAATTCCGGCATCCTTCAGCTCCTCCACGCTACCCTTCACCCCGTCGACGATCCCCAGCCTCGCCGCCTCCGCTCCCCTGATTTTCGTCCCTCGCAGCAGCGCATCCCGCCGGGCCGAAACCGACCCGATCTTGGTCCGAAACAGCACGGTGAAGTAGTCCGGCAAGGGAATCCCTATATCCACCTCGCTCATGTACAGAACCCCACGGTCGCTCCTCATGAGCACGTAATCGTGGCACAGCGCGAGGGCGAACCCGGCGGCGGCGGCGTGGCCCTGGACGACGGCGACGGTCGGCATCGGGAGGGAGATCAGCTCGGCGACGACGGGGCGGAACGAGTCGACCATGTGGTTGAGCCGCTCGGCGGCCTCGGATCTGGACCCGGCGGATCGGGCCCAGCCCAGATCGAGGCCGTTGGAGAAGAATCGGCCCTGGGATGTGGTGATGAGGACCGAGCCCCTGGTGGCCTGGGATTTGGCTTCGCGGAGGGATGAGAGGACGGTGGCGATTGCGGCCGGGCTGAGGCGGTGCTCGTCGCTGTCGCCCGTCAACGTTAGGACGAAGAAGTCCCCGCGCTTCTCCAGCGTACACATCGTGGGCGGGCCGCCGGTGTTGTCGGTGGGAGAAGGAATGGCGATCGATCCACTGCCGGGAAAATATGAAATTGTATTGTCTAAATTCAAAAACCTTACCCATAAGTTACTATACCGAGCTGATTTTTCTGTCCCAACTCCCAACGTAGCTACCATATGGATAAGATAAGGTGATTTTTTTTTTACATGTTTAGTCACTCAAATCATATATCTAATCTCGGTTAAGAGGTTTCTCCAAAATAAAATAAAAAGATACAGTTAGCGATGAACATCGGACTACTAAATCCACTAATTCACCCAAATTCATCCGCAATTGAACCATTAATTATGATAAGGTCATATGGATGGTTTTTATGGGTGGATATGAGTTTCTAAAATAAGTGACTTATAAAAGGTTGAGTGGGTGGACAATGGTTGATCTATAATCCATCCAATTTTTTAATTTCAAACCAAGGAATCTCTAACATATAACCTTATTGAAAGCGAAATCCTCAAAATCAAAAAATTACTCTCCAATATCGATCAAAGATATGACAAAATTATTGGTTATCCTTCCTGCCCAATTATGAATGAATATCTTCCCAAATTATAGTAATTGATGATGAGTACAAAGTCTAATTTTATTTTCATGGTTGGAAATCTATATTAATATAATAACTGCCTTCGACGATTATTTGTCATCTTTTTTTTTGGTTTGTAGACAAATTTGGCTAATCCTATTATTAGATTTTCAGGAGTGTTCGATGAGCGACTATGATTTGAAGACTTGAACATTTATCATTACTTATTATATCTCGATTTCAGTAATACGAAATTCATCCTCCTTTACATTATCTGTGAACAATCTGAAAAAATTGTTAATACGTAAATAAACAAATTTGTAGAACCAATTATTTTTCAGGGGTTTCCATACATTACTATTGTTCATAGTTAAAAAAAAACATGAAATTTCCTTCTATCTCACGCTTAGCTTAGCCCTGGCATGCCCCCTTGATATCTGAAACTGCTCCGTGATCCCAAAATGTGCCATCAACAGCCAAACATGGGTGAGAAGCTCTCCACCCAACCTCAAATGCTGAGCATGGTAACTTCCCCTGCAATGGCTAGCAGCAAAGCCAAGCATTTCAACCCACACATTGCTCACCAGCTCCCACCTCTCGCCTTCCGTCACCCCATGCCTCAGCCTCTCAGCCAACCTGCAAGCCTCGAACAACACCGATTTGCATCTATCTCCTTTCACTCTCTCCGCCGGCACTCCTGTGTTCACATTCAACAGCACTTCCCATGCCTCGGACGACGACGACGATGCCCCACTCTCACCATCCAGCAGCTTACTTGGATCAAAGATCCACTTATATGGGTTCCTCGATTCACCTCCATAGCCTCGGATTCTCCCCGCGACAGCTTCGTGGTCCTGAAACACCTTCCTGATCTCCGCGCAGGTGTCTATGTACCTTATCTTCCCTATCCCCATCGGCAGCATCACTGGGCGAGTGACCAATAGGTACATCATGTACTCTGACAGTTGCTTGCTCTTTTCCCGCAGTCTGTGTACTTCGAATTCGGACGAAGGATTCAATTGGTAGCAGAGATCTGTAGCAATGTGCCACACCAGAATGCTCTGATCGAACTCGAGGTCGACGGTCCAAGGCAACAGGTCTTGGTGGTTCATTCGCTCCAGAACTCGGTTGCCTCTCCAAGTGCATACAGATTTGAGCTCTTTCTGGTACCTTGCTAGCTCGTCGTCACCGCCACCACTAGTACTGGCCTTTGATCTCTGCTTTAGATACAGAAACTTGTCCTTGAAATGGTCGAAGATGAACTCCTTCAACTCCTCAGAAACAGCAAGCGAAGTCTCGTGACGGGTCTCCAGCAGTTTGTCTATCCAGAGGGATTTGGTCACTTCTTGGCTGAGTTTTGGCTTGGTTCTGAGGCAGAAGCTGATCAAGTTGTACTGCCCCATTGAGTTGGACCACCTGGGAAGCTTAGGCATTTGGACGAAACTGATGAACTTTCTGAGTAAAGCTGATATCTTGTGTTCAACCAGAAGTAGATCCATCCAATCCGAAGAGACCAGCGATAGTCCCGCGTAGAGCTCGAGGAAAATGGCAGAGGCCAGCAATTGAAACGTTACGACCACATCCACCATGTCATTCTTGTACGGCCGCTTGGTCCCAACTGACGCTGAGAAGATCGCCAATGCAACACAGGTGCTCGATAGAGTGACGAAGCGAAAGCAGTAGCCCATGGTGGTGTAGATGATTCTAGCCTTGGTGTAGAGCTCGTCGTACATGAACCCAAGCTCGATCTCGATCACCTTGAACGCATTCTGGTAGCTGATGTCCTGGAACAACGATTGGCTGTCGTCTCTGTCCTGGAAGCTGAGGATGAGATCCACGAACAGGCGTTTAAATTTGTCGAACAGTTGGTGTGCATAAATGAGCTGCTCTGTTTCATCTCTTCCCTTCCCCTGCCTATTAGCCTTCGGGTTCGACATTCCTTCCTCGTCGTTCACAACCACCAGCACCCGCGACTCCGGCACTTCCTGGGCCTGCACATTGAAGCCTTCGTACTGCTTGAGGGTGAGCTCCTCCATGAATTTCGAGTAATTGGGGCCCGGGTCGGGTTCCGTCAGCAGCGAATCGAGCCTCTCGTTGTTGCTCGCCGACATCAGAGCGTAGGTCCTCTCGCCGTACTTGATGAGCCCCGCCGCGAAGATCGGCAGAGTGAGGAGCGACAGCCGGGAAGATTCCGGCACCGTCCAGGCGAGGAGGAAGATGTAGATCGCCATCCCGGTTTGCACCGCCAGGCCCATCAGGTGGCGGAGCCAGAGCTCGTTGTCCTCCAGCGCGTAGGAAGTGATGGTGTCCGGCCCGCCGAGATGCAGGAGGAGGAACGGGGCCCAGAACGCCGTCAGCTGGGTCTCTGGGTTTATGGTAACGGCGGTGGCGGAATTGGGTTTGGATGAATTGGTATTGCTGGGATCGTCCTCGTAGAGGTCGCCGAGATTGTTTAGGAGGACTCCCAGGGCGACGGCGGCGACCCAATCGGCGAGTAAGTAGGCGGACCAGGTGGTGAATTGGAGCCAGGAGGATCTTTTGAACCGGCGGCGGTTGCCAGAGATGATGAGGAGGATCTGGAGGGAGAGGCTGATCAAGACCAGAGCGCGGAGCTCCCATTCTTTCCAGAGCTTCCGCCAGGACGGCGGGAACAGCTCCACCGTCGATCTCCTCCGGATGGAGTTGTGATCAGCCAATATGGTGGCGGCGGCAACTGATGAGAAAATTTTGTCATTATATATTTTTAAAAGAATCACCATACAAATATTATATTTTTAATTAATCTTAAAGGAGTCAAAATTTAGTAATAAATTTAAATATACAATCTATCTCACAAAAATATACGTCATTTACCATTTTGATAGCAAATTAATGAGTGTTATTTTAACTAAAATAATGAATAAAATAATTTAATCCTAGCCATTACGAAATAAGAAGTGGTGTATAAAGGGTAGTACCGATTCATACCTGTTTGGAGCATCATGATTTCCACACTATTCTTTTCTGCTTCAGGTGGGATGTTACATTTTTATTTGCCTCTTAAACTATTAAGAGTTAGGGTTTGGTATTTAAGGTGAAAGCTGTAAGGAGAATCTAGCTATATAGCCAACTCCTCGTGATTCATGAGTGATATGTGTACTTGGGAATAAAATTTGTTGGAAGAACCAAGCAAAGTAATCCATGTTATATATTCGATCGGTTTTGAACGACTTTACGTGTTCAAATTATAGTATTTTTTTTTGTTCTTATATGCCTTTCTTAGGAGGAGAAGTAGCTGTGTGGGTCATGCAAATATAGTCATTCTCTTTTTTTGTCCAGATTATGTTATTCGCTATGAATTAAGTTAGTTATATATGCTTTGCTTGGATGGTTTCCTCTCATCACAATTAAGCAATAGATTCATTACTTCTTCTCCAAGAAATTATAACAAATTAAATCAAATGTATGTGCTTAATCAATTGTCATTTGCTAACAATATATATACACACACCAGCTAACACCCACCCATCCACCCAATCAACCAGTCAGTCACACTTTGTTTCAGACAACAACGATGACAGAAAAAGCAAGTGACGTTGGCATGACGATCATGGCAATGAAAGGCAACTCACAAGACTGGAACAGAGTGGTGGCGTTCAACTTAGCTCGATTCCTCAAACACCCTCTCATCGACACTCACGACATCCACCAAACCCTTCAGAAATCCTCCTCCTCCTCGCAAACCAACGACGACAACAATATCACCACGGAAGAATCTCCCGCCCTGGACGTCGCGTACGGCGTTGCTTCGACACAGCTCAGTCTGAAGATCCCCGTCGTCATCATCAACGGCCCCCACCCACTGACCCCGGGCGCCACGTGGCTACCACTCGCAGTTTCTTCTGGTGCTCGCCTCGTCATCATCGAATGCCACCCGCCGGAAGAGGAATCAGTCAAGCAACACCACCGAGACGACGACAACGGTATCTCGTTGTTCCACGTGGACGCCGAGTCATTCGACAGGAAGAAAGCTGAAGACATCGTGTCCAAGATTCACTTACTTTCACGTCAACAACAGAAGCAGCCCAGCTCTACTACTAAAACGACCACGAAGACGAGGACCAACAAGGTGGCTGCTGCGGCGAAAGAAAAAGAAGGAGAAAGAAAGAAGATAAGGAGGAACGACCACTTACATGAATGGGTCGAGAAGGCAGTCAAGCCACCGAACGACGATATAAACAGTGCTCTTTGTATAGCTTGCAACGACGATATAAACAGTGCGCTTCGTATAGCTTGCAACCACGACGACGGCGACCTCATACCTTTCCCGATGACTTACTTCAAGTGCACCGAATGCGACTTCGCACTGCACAGACATTGCGCCGAGAAGCCGGACGGCGTACCCGTCGACCTGGTTGCGAACAGGTGTCCGCCGTATCTGAAAGCGTTCCGACCGCAGTACGACTTTCCTACCAAGGTTAGATGCAGAAACTGTCGCGACGACGACGACGACGTGGAGGAGTACTTCTCCGCCGCCGTCGACGACTGCCACGACTGCCTGACGAAGACGAACCTCGAAAACAAGTTCTTGCCGACTGTGCTAATGAATGGTCACGTGCACGTTCACCGGCTGAGTCTGGTCATCATGCCGTTTGGGTACGATTACAAGTACCTGTGCGGCCGCTGCGACCAACTCGGGTACTCCGTCGGATACAAATGTTACGAGTGTGACGAACGGCCCAATTTCCACGTGGCATGTGCCCTGCTGTCACCTCCTCCTCGTGCTCCTGTTCCTGTTCCTGTTCCTGTTCGTCCTCCTCCTCGTCGTTCTGTTCATAGTCCTCTCATTATTTCTCCTCCTCCCTCGCCTCTTCCTCGTCCTGTTCTTACTAGTCCTCTTATTATTTCTCCTTCTCCTTCTCCTCCTCGTCCTATCCGTCCTTACAATGCCAGCCCGAAAGAGAAATCAGAAAAGCTTTTGGGAGGTGATGGAGACGACGACGAGCTTCTATGAGTGACGAAATTTAGTCCCTTCTGTTCACTGTGTCATGAACCGTGCGTGGTCGATGGTTCGACGTGGAATTCATTTGGGTTTGTAAGATTGGATCGAGGTTTGAAATAATAATAAGTCCACATGTCATTGTTTTTATTAATTAGCTGAAATGTCAATTACTTATAATCATGCATGGCGGCCTTTTCCTAGCATCCATTTTACTATCACTTACAAATCAATGAATCATACTGCAGTCCTCCATAATCTTGGGTTTAGTGATGATTGCAAGATAGTTTCACTTATATCCCAGTGGCGGACCCAGGAATTACATTAAGGGTATTCAACGATGAAATAAATCATCAAGGATTGTCAAATAGCCTTGAGTTCAAATACTACCATAGCAAAAATAACATTTTACAGAGACAAAAAAATGGAAACACGGTTTGTCAAATGACAAGCCTTGGGCTAACATAGGTCCGCCACTGCTTATATCATGGCTATCAGGGAGGGATTCAGGAGTACTAGAACGTACGTAAGTCCCAAATTTCTAAATCTCTGGCCTTAAGTCCTAAACTGGTGCATTTAGTTGGTTGATAATCACTCGTTTTGAGTGATTGTAGGTGAGCCTAGAAAAAAGGTAATACATGTATTCTGTCACAAATTTAACAAAAAAAAAAAGAAAAAAGAGACTTATTCTTGACATTACATGCATTGGCTAAATACATTTCTTGAAATCCCAACATCTAAACAACCCCTTAGACCACACTTAACCCTTAGTTTAACCGTTAAACTCATGTAGGAAAATTCAATTAGCTACAAATTAATACACTTAGCCACTCATAACAATAAATGCTTAGTTATTTAATTATCATTTGCAAAATGTATATATACACACAAACACACACGCTTTCATGCATCTCTCGATCGGAGAAAAAGATTTGTTAGTCATTATATTCCGTTTTGAATGACTTTACGTATTCAATCAAGTATTTTTCTTATAAGTTACTTATATATTTTTCTTGAGAGGAAAAGATATGTGGGTCATATACGTATAGTCATTCTCATTCTTTGTCCACGTTACTTTCTTCGCTGGGAATTAAGTTAGTTATATATGCTTGCTTGCTTGTGAGGTTTTCTCTAATCACAAAGTAATATATTCATTTCTTCTCCTCCAAAAAACAAAATTATAACATAACCAAATGTATATGCTTAATCAATTGATGTTTGCTAACATTATATATACACACACACCAAACACATACGGGCTCATGCATCATAGTTCTTCCTTACCAATCAATCAAACTTTGTTTCAAACAAAGATGACGGAAAAAGATGATCTCGGGTTAGCGATCAGCCAACAAAAGACAGCTCGCGACACTGGTTGTAGGGTTTCCTCTAATCACAAGTAAGTAATATATTCATTGCTTCTCCTCCACGAAATTACAAGAGAATCAAATTTATGAGCTTAACGTCAATTGTCATTTGCTAAGGGTATATATACACACAAAACACACATACATACAACATAGTTCTTTCTCATTAACCAACCAATCAAACCTTGTTTCATACAACGATCGATCGATGATGGAAGAAGCTGGGCGAGAAGATCTCGGGCTGACGATCATGGCAATGAAAGGCAGCTCGCAAGAATGGAACAGAGTGGTGGCGCGCGTCCAACTTAGCCCGATTCCTCAAATGCCCTCTAATCGACACTCACGACATCAACCAAGCCCTGTCCTCGTCGCCGCCGTCCTCCTCTCAAACCGACGATAACAATATCACCGAAGAATCTCCAGCCCTAGACGTCGCATACGGCGTCGCTTCCACACAGCTCAGTCTGAAAATCCCCGTCATCATCAATGGGGCCCACCCGTTAACTCTGGAGACCACGTGGCGACCGCTCGCAGCTTCTTCCGGCGCTCGTCTCATCGTCATCGAATGCCACCCGCCGGAAGACAGAGCCGGACAACATCAGTCAGACGGCGAGGACGATCACGATGGCATCACATTGGTCCACGTGGATGCCGAGTCATTCGACGGGAAGAAAGCCGAAGGCATTGTGTCCAAGATTCACTTGCTTTTACGTCAGCAGGAGCACAATACTAAGGTGGTGGCTGGAGGAAAAATAGAAAAAGCAAAACAGAGGAAGCAGAGAAGAAGGAGCGACCACTTGCATGAATGGGTGGAGAAACAACCCAATAGTACTAATGAAAATAATACCGACGACGTACGACTGGTTGTGTTTAGCTTGCGACGCCGGCGACCCTTTTCTTCTAGAGGCTTCCTACCGATGCACCGACTGTGACTTTGCATTGCACAAAAGGTGCGCCGAGCAACCGTACTACGGCGCAGTTTTGGACGAATGTCCGCCGTATCTGAAAGCGGTCCGACCGCAATCGTACGACTTTCCTTCCAAGGTGAAATGCAGAAACTGTCGGGACGGCTCCGGCGAGGAGGAGTTCTCCGCCGTGGATGACTGCCACGATTGCCTGATGCAGACGAACCTCCGCCACAAGTCCTTGCCGACTGTGCTAAGGAATAAAGACGCGCACCATGATCACCGGCTGAATCTGGTCATCATGCCGTTTGGGTACGATTACAAGTACTTGTGCGCCCGCTGCGAAGCAATCGGGTACTCGGTCGGATACAAATGTTACGAGTGTAACGAATTACCCAATTTCCACGTGGCATGTGCCCTGCTGCAGTGGTGGCCTTCGCCGATTAAATTACTAGCGTGGGTCCCGGCCAGTTGGCCTGAGGAAGGTAAGGTATGAAATTTAAGAATGTAATGAGGTGTATAGCTTATTGTTGTATATTTTTTTTTGGAAACACGTGATAAATATAGTGGATTTTAGCGGGAAAGAGACATGGATGATGCAACGAATCAAAAATCAGCCTTATGAATCAAGTTCGAGTACCTGTTATCTTGTGAAACAGTATTATTTCTGGTAATATGATGAGGTGGAGTAAGTTTTATAGAAACCGATTCCAGAAAACTGAATAAAAAATCGCCTATAATATACACTATAATTTAATCATTAGGATATCAAATAATTACACAATATATATTTGAAATTATAAAAATTGGACTAATCGGGTTGGTCGAGGTCGAACCATTTAATAACTTTAAAATACATTATATTTTAGCAACTAACATATATTTTAGCATAATATATGTTATACTAGAGAAAATAACATGTTTTATGATGGCAAACCAAAGATGTTCATTTGTTTTACTTGAAACTTGATGGTAAAATCCCATATGGTCATGCCCATTCAACTCTTTTATTCTATAGTTAGTGGTTAGCCCATTAAAATCCATGCATTAGTTTATTGTTAAATTTTTTCTTTTTAGCAATGGAAAAGGAGTATTGTTTTTGCCCTTTCACATATATCTTACCAACACCGACAAATAAAAGGGCTTAAAGAAAACCCTATGTCCCCTATAAAAAGTTGCTCAGTGCTCACTGGCTCATGGTTCACTTCTCTCTCTCAATCTCAATTGATTAGGAGAAGGCTCTATAAATACTCTTTATCATCCTAATATATAGTTAGGTCTATCAGGTTAGTTTGTTCGGTTTGTTGATACATATATGATTCGTTTTGTAATATGTGCACTTCACAAATCAATGAAATTTGTTCTTCCCTGCCCGTAAATTAGTTTACACATTGTCTTAGTGAATCACATTAAATTTATGTCTGCTTTTGTTCTTTGCGTTATCGTTTGTGCGCTTCCATCCGACATGAATTGCTTCTCCTCCAAAAAACTAAGATAGAATCAAATTTATGGGATTAGTTATTTAATTATCATTTGCCAACAACAATATATATATACACAAAAACACACAAGCTTCCATGCATGTATCTCTCAATCACGATTTATGAGACATATATGTATTAGAGAATAAGATTTGTTCGTCACTATACTTGATTTTGAATGACTTTACATGTTCAATCAAGTACTCTTCTTGTTAGAGTGTGGTATAAGATTCAGTATAACCTTCTCCCAACCATTCGAGTTATTGGAATCAACTGGTTCTTGACATGGTATCAGAGCCTGGTTTGACCAAGTGGTCGTGTGTTCGAACCTCCACGACCCCCAATATTAACAGTTGATTAAAGCACAAGGTATTGTGGGCCTGTGCAAACTTCAAGCCCGTAGGTTGGCTATCGTTTGAGGGGGTGTGTTAGAATGTGGTATAAGATCCAGCATAACCTTCTCCCAACAACTCGAATTATTGGGATCAACTGGTTCTTGACACTTCTAATAAGATAGTTATATACTTTTCTTTGGAAGAAAATGTGTGGGTCATGTATAGTCATTGATCTCATTCTTTTTCCAAGTTATGTTCTTCGGGAGGAATTAAGTTAGTTATATATATATGCTTGCTTGTGGGGTTTAATATATTCATTGCTTAATTCTCCTCCTAGAAATTATAACAAAATCAAATGTATATGTTTAATCAATTGTCGTTCGCTAACAATATATATACACACCCACAAACGCACACACGTCCGTACAACAATCAACCAATCAATTAATCAATCACACTTTGTTCAGCCAGCCAGCCAACGATGACGGAAATAGGTGATGTCGGACCGACGATCATGGCAATGAAAGGCCGCTCACAAGATTGGAACAGAGAGGTGGCGTTCAACTTAGCTCGATTCCTCAAATACCCTCTCATCGACACTCGCGACATCCACCAAACCCTTCGAAAATCCTTCCCCTCGTCGTTCTCCTCTCAAACCAACGACGACAACAATATCACCACCGAAGAATCTTCGGCCACCCTAGTTGTTGCATCCGGCTTCGCCTCGTCGCAGCTCAATCTGAAGATCCCCGTCATCATCAACGGCCCCCACCCACTAACCCCGGGCGCCACGTGGCGACCACTCGCAGTTTCTTCCGGCGCTCGCCTCGTCATCATCGAATGCCACCCGCCGGAAGAGGAGGTCGGGCGCCAACACCACTACGCGGGCCGAGGTGACGATGGCCTCTCGTTGTTCCACGTGGACGCCGAGTCATTCGACAGGAAGAAAGCCGAAGATATCGCGTCCAAGATTCACTTACTTTCACGTCAACATGACGAGAAGTACAACCCTACTACTACTAAAACGACCAACAAGTTGGCTCCGGCGGCGAAAGAAAAAGAAGAAGAAGAAGAAGGAAAGCAGAACAGGAGGAAGAACGACCACTTGCACCAATGGGCGGAGAAGTCACCGAACGATGATTCTGGTTGCATAGCTTGCAGCCCCGACGACGTCCACTTCGTCACAAAGTTTCCGGTGTCTTACTACAAGTGCGCCGAGTGCGACTTCACGTTGCACAAACATTGCGCCGAGAAACCGGACCACTTCTCCGTCAGCCTGGTTGCGGAGAGGTGTCCGCCGTATCTGAAAGCATTCCGACCGCAATACGACTTTCCTTCCAAGGTTAAATGCAGAAACTGCCGCGACGACGTGGAGGAGTACTTCTCCGCCGTCGAGGACTGCCACGATTGCCTGACAAAGACAAACCTCGAAAACAAGTTCTTGCCGACTGTGCTAATGAATGATCACGTGCACGGTCACCGGCTGAGCCTGGTCATCATGCCGTTTGGGTACGATTACAAGTACCTGTGCGGCCGGTGTGACCAACTCGGATACTCAGTCGGATACAAATGTTACGAGTGTGACGAACTGCCCAATTTCCACGTGGCATGTGCCCTGCTGTCACCTATTCATCCTCTTCCTCGTTCAGCTTCTCCTCCACGTCCTGGTGCTACAATTCTTTCTCCCGCTCCTTCCCTTCTTGGTATGCCTCGGTTCACAATAGAGTATAGGGATTAAATGTACTATTTGTTTCTTATATATGTACTATTTTGTAATTTACTTTTATTTACTTTATCTGGAGTGGACAGATATATATGCATAATGCAATAAAGAAACAATGTAAACTTTACCGTTTTATGAAATAAAATCGACTGTTTTTCTCTCAAACATGGAATCAGAGATTCTCTGACCAAAAATCGTGTTCCGTTGTTTTCACCCTTCTAGAGTTTTCCGATTCTTTCGTCTTTGCTTCGATCTCCGGCCGTCCGGGGCATCCATGACGAATCCTCCGCCGTACTGTGGCGCGATCTCAAGGAACGTTTCTACAGTCTCAAGCAGGGCAATCAGTATGTAAGCGAGTTCTTTACCAAGTTTCACGTTCTCTGGGATGAGCTGATCACATATCGACCGTTACGACTCTGTCTTTGTGCTCTCCGTTGCTCCTGTGTTGAATATATGAAGGCAGACCGGGTCATTAGGTTTATGATGATTTTGAATCGGTTAGGTCATCAATTTTGTTAATGGAGCCTTTACCACTGATCAATAAGGAGACTATACGATGGGACATAAATGAAATATCAAATAAAATAGGAGACAATTGACAATTTTTTTAGTGGTTCAAGTGTGGTAGTGATATTAGCCCTAATTTTGATTAGTTGAACTACTTATCTTTCATTTATTTATTAACACTGTATTTTTCTACGTGTTATTGATGAATCTTTCACTTTATGTCTTCCATTATATTCGATTTTGAATGACATTACGTACTCAATCAAGTACCCTTCTTATAAAGATAGTTATATACTTTTCTTAGGGGGAAAAAAAAAGATGAGTTAGTTTTATAGTCTCGCTTGCTTATATAGGTTTTCTCTAATCACAAGTAAGTGATATATTCATTGCTTCTCCTCAAATTATATATGTGCTTAAGCAATTGTTGTTTGCTAACAATATATATACACACAAACACACGTACACATCCTTGCATCGTTATTCTTTCTCATCAATCAACCAATCAATCACACTTTATTTCAGCCAACGATGACAGAAAAAGATGATCTCGAACTGACAATTATCGCAATGAAAGGCGACTCATTATATCGGAACAGAGAGGTAGCGTTCAACTTAGCACGATTCCTCAAATACACTCTCATCGACATTCACGACATCCACCAAGCCTTTCAAAAACCCTCCTCTCAAACCAACAACAGCAACAATATCACCGAAGAATCTCCGGCCCTAGATGCTGCATACGGCTTCGCTTCGATGTCACACCCTGGGAGAAAGAATAGTCTTGGCGAGTGTTAATTCCTGGAAAAAAAGACGGATTACAGAGAAGAGCTGGGAAATAGGGATAAGAACAGAGAAGAAGGGAAAGAAAGTGGAGTAAGAACAGGAAGAACAGAAGGAAGAAGAAGGAGAGGAAGGAAAGGGAAATAGGAGGAAGCAATTTCTGATTATTGTGTTCGATACCTTTCTCGTTACAACACAGCCCTATTTATATGACATACTAATTACAAATTGATACTCACACTATACTATATTACAATTAACTCCTTACAGACATTGGATCATTACAACTCCCAACCCCTTGAGAATAGCCTTGTCCTCAAGGCTGAAAACAATCAAAACAATGAACAAGCCAACAATAAAATGCTACAAACAAAAGGAAATGAGCTGCAACTGTTGATTCTTGCATTTGGATGGCTACCAAGTTGTATTTGTATCACCACCAATCCATAATCCCTTCCCCAGTAGTGATAAGCTCCTTATATGGCTCTCTAAAGTCAGGATCAATGCCCCTTCCATGCGAGAAAATCACATAACACTCCTGACTTGACAACCCACCATTACCAGTAGAAAACAACATCATCACAGTCCCACAATCCTCCTTAAGAGGCTTGGAGCTACTGCTGCCATACAACCCCCAAGATCTTACAGACTCCCGGTCAAGAATTTCTTCATCGTTGATGTCATCTACACCATCTTTGCTGGGTTCTTTAAACTTCGGCCAATCCCCCCTTCCATGAGAAAGAACTTCATGCACACAGAACTCAGAAGCAAGATCAGAAAACAACTGAAATTGATACACTACCGAAGGAACTCTGATCATAGCAACATTCGTAGTAACTCTCAGCCCTTCAAGGATTACAATAATCGACACCTTTCCACGGCTAAAACCTTTATTGAATCCAGAACAAGAGACTACCGGATCGGTGGCAACAAACTCTCCAACATTTTGAACCAGTCTGCAGTCTTGATCAAAAGCACAAATGAATACTTCAGGCGACATAATCCTGACAGGAGAATTGAGTTCTCTACCATAGTCATGAACTCCAACCACCTTCTTCAATACTACCGCAGCCAACTTGGAAACATTATACCAAGTCTTCCCATCAGTCATCATGCCCACCATTCCGCAGCACACCAAAAGAACACTTGTCACAACATCACAATGCTGAACAACCCCCTCTTTGTAGGGTTCTTTGTGCTCTGGGAGGTTTCCTCTTCCGTGCGAACGAAATTCAGTATCACAAAACTCCATGTAGGGCTCCTTGAAGTTCGGATAAACAATCTTTCTTTTAAACTTCACCCTACGCCACGAATCCCCCTGATCTTTCTGCAAAGTATAATTCCATTCAACAAGGAACAATTGCTTTCTATAATTCAGAAAACCAAAACTCAGCTTGGTAGAAATGGGTGCTCCATGAATAAAATCAGTATCATCCACTTCCATAACCTGAGTGTCCATAGCTTTCTTTAATGCATCAGTAAAAACTTCATCTGTCACTTGGTCGCCACTATCTTGCAAGTACACCCTATATGGCACCTCAATCCTACAAGAAGATTGCTGGATTTTCTCTTGAATGAAACACACCCAACTTCCAGACTCTGAACACGGGTTAACACCACGGTACACAATCTGCGTAGCTGTCACACCCACAGCTTTGAAGGCGGAATTCTCACCCTGTTCTGGTTCATCTGTACAACATGCTAGAATATTAAAGCATTTCCCCTCAGCTCTACTTGGGACACCTTCTGCTTCACAAATCGCACTTCGGACAGATTGTGCAATAGCTCCCGGAGGATCGTCAATACTCAACGTACTATGTGCACCAATAATATCCAATGGAAGTGGCTGGAGATCTTCTTTATATATAACTCCAGTTGGCTGATTCAATCCTTTGTCTCCATCATTCAAATCAACAATCTCATTAGGCATCTCAACCAATATGTCACTTAGAGATGCACCACTGCTGTTAAAGTCAAAATACTCAGCAGCTACTCCATGCCGAGTTTCAGCGGTTTGCCCAGTTGCTGCCATAGAAGTAGAACGATCAAAATGTCTACCTAAGGCTACCACGAATTCGTCCCAAGTCGGGTCAAGCCGACGGAAAATCCAACCCTCGAACCAAACTTTCGGCCAGATTCCAAATTTGGTTGCTGCAATGGCTACTTTCCTATGCTCCGGAGTGTCATTCATTACAAACCATTCTTCCCACTTACTAACCCAATCCCTAAGATTTTCTCCCGAGAAGAAAGGGATACCTGAGTCAACGTCCACTTCGGCATATCGTCGAACAGTTGGCGGTCGAATTTCTGGAATCGGCAGTAGGGCACTCCGATCGACGTCTCTCTCCTCCAACAGTGAAGGCGTTGGGTTGCCGAGGAGATCACCGTCGGTGTTGGATGGAGAAAGAGTATCGAGATACGTCTGGCAGATGCGGAGTTGGTCGACGTAAGTCCGAGAAAGAGGCGATTCCCGTAGCTGTCCGTCGAATCTGCTGCACGAGATCATGCATCGCAAAAACGCCACTTCTGAAGCCGCGAGAGATGCGCGAAGCGTCGGTGCAGTCGCCGGATTAGCAATGACGGCTAACCGGTCTTCTATCGTCCGCATCGGCGGAACCATGGTTGTCATTGTGCCAAGAAGAGGCTCAGCGACTTGATGATTCTGTGGAAGAGGCAAAATGCCCTCAGCGCCAAGCTGATCCTCGAGCGGCGCAACCGCGCCGACAGTTGCCTCCACCGGCCTAAGAGGAAGAATTCCGTGAAGCATATCGCGAATCTCCTCAGTGAATCGATCAAAGCGATTATCCCATCGAGTTATGAAACTAGTCCAGCGTTCGTCGATTGTACCTCGAGTCGCCGCCATTGTGCCAAGACAGGGCTCTGATACCACCTTGTCACACCCTGGGAGAAAGAATAGTCTTGGCGAGTGTTAATTCCTGGAAAAGAAGACGGATTACAGAGAAGAGCTGGGAAATAGGGATAAGAACAGAGAAGAAGGGAAAGAAAGTGGAGTAAGAACAGGAAGAACAGAAGGAAGAAGAAGGAGAGGAAGGAAAGGGAAATAGGAGGAAGCAATTTCTGATTATTGTGTTCGATACCTTTCTCGTTACAACACAACCCTATTTATATGACATACTAATTACAAATTGATACTCACACTATACTATATTACAATTAACTCCTTACAGACATTGGATCATTACATTCGACGCAGCTCAGTTTGAAGTTCCCCGTCATCATCAACGGGCCCCACCCGATCCCCCCTGGCGCCACCATCGGCAACTTGTGGGGACCACTCGCAGCTTCTTCCGGCGCTCGCCTCGTCGTCGTCGAATGCCACCATCGAGACGACGACTACGACGTCGTTGCTGCCCAAGGTGACGATGGCATCTCATCGGTCCACGTGGACGCCGAGACATTCGACAGGAAGGAAGCCGAAGGTGTCGTGTCCAAAATTCACTCACTTTTACGTCAACAGAAGCATAATACCACTACGACGTCGTCCAACAATAGTAAGGTGGTGGCGAAAGGAAAAGATCAAAAAGGAAAACAGAGAAGGAACGACCACTTGCACGAATGGGTGGAGAAGCAACCGATGAACAGCAATACCGCCGAAAGCTGGACGTGCATCGCATGCCAGGACAGAAACGACGGCGTTCAGATCAATACGGTCAGGACGGTCGAGTCCTACTACTACCAGTGCGCCGACTGTGACTTTGCATTGCACAAACACTGCGCCGAGAAACCGGACGACACCTTCGGTGTTATGAACAGATGCCCGCCGTATCTGAAAGCAGACCACCCACAACAAGGGTACGACTTTCCTTCCAAGGTCAAATGCAGAAACTGCCGCGACGACGACGAAGATGACGTGGAGGAGTTATCCGTCGACAACTGTCATGATTGCTTGACGAAGACGAACCTCCACCACAAATTCTTGCCGACTGTGCTAAGGAATTATAAAAACGTGCACGATCACCGCCTGAACCTGGTGATCATGCCGTTTGGTTACAATTACAAGTACTTGTGCGGCAGCTGCGACAAAATCGGGTACTCGGTCGGATACAAATGTTACGAGTGTGATGAACGACCCAATTACCACGTGGCTTGTGCCCTAATTCCTCTTTTTCGTACTTTGCCTCGTCCGCTTAATAATTTTATTACTGCTCACATGGAAACTGGGCCTCCTAATCCTACCTCCTATTTATATTCCTCCTACTCGTCCTCCACTTCTTATGCCGCCGCCTCTTCGTCGTCCACTTGCTATGTCTCGTCCTTCTTCTCCCATTCCTCGGGAACAAATGGAGTTGACGTATCCTGATTTGTATAAGTGAAAGCAGCTTCTCTTCGGTTTGAGCTTTCGTTTCCTTTTTTATTGTGTACGTAGTTACCATAAAGTTATGAACCATGCAATGCAATGCATGCATGTTCTGGGTGGATTGACCTGGGTTTGTAATCCGTATTTTCCTACTTATTATCAATGAATATTTCACTTTTTTTTTTTATCTTTCATGATTATTCGGGTTTGAATGACTTTACATGCTCAATCAAGTACTCTAAGATAGTTATATACTTTTCTTAGGAAGAAAAGATGTGTGGGTCACTCATGTATAGTCATCGATCTCATTCTTTTTTTCAAGTTATGTTCTTGGCGAGGAATTAAGTTAGTTATATATGCTTGCTTTCTGGTGAGGTTTCCTCTACTCACAAGTAAGGAATATATTCATTGCTTCTCCCCCTAGAAATTATAGCAGAATCAAATGTATATGGTTGATAAATTGTCGTTTGCTAACAATATATACACACACACAAACACATGCACACACGTCCTTGCAATATTGTAGTTCTTTCTCATCAATTAATCAATCAATTACACTTTATTTCAGCCAACGATGACGGAAAAAGGTGATATCGGCGGACTGACGATCATCGCAATGAAAGGCGGCTCGCGATATAGGAACAGAAAGGTGGCGTTCAACTTAGCACAATTCCTCAAATGCCCTCTCATCGACACTCGCGACATCCACCAAGCCTTTCAAAAATCATCCTCCTCTCAAACCAACGATGAATCTGCGGCCCTAGGTGCTGCATACGGCGTCGCTTCAACGCAGCTCAGTTTGAAGTTCCCCGTCATCATCATCAACGGGCCCCACCCGCCACCTCCGGGCGCCACCATCGGCAACTTGTGGCGACCACTCGCAGCTTCTTCCGGCGCTCGTCTCGTCGTCGTCGAATGCCACCAGCCGGACGACGAAGTCGAGCAACACCAACGAGGCGGCGACGATGACTACGACGATGATGGCATCTCAATGTTCCACGTGGATGCCGAGTCATTCGACATGAAGAAAGCCGAAGGTTTCGTGTCCAAACTTTCACGTCGACAGAAGCGAAATACTACTACGATGACGACGACGACGACCAATAATAAAGAAAAAGAAAAAAGAAAACAGAGAAGAAACGACCACTTGCACGAATGGGTGGGGAAGCAACCAAACAGCAATACCGCCGACTTGTCGTGTATCGCGTGCCAGGACAGCCGCCACGACGACGCCGTTCAGATAATTAGGACGTCTTACTATCAGTGCGCCGACTGTGACTATGCATTGCACAAACACTGCGCCGAGAAATTCGACGACACCCTCGTTACGGTTTTTCTGAGATGCCCGCCGTATCTGAGACCAAACCACCCACAACAAGGGTACGACTTTCCTTCCAAGGTTAAATGCAGAAACTGCCGCGACGACGACGAAGACGTGGAGGAGGAGGAGTTCTCCGCCGCCGTGGACAACTGCCACGATTGCCTGATGCAGACGAACCTCCGCCACAAGTTCTTGCCGACTGTGCTAAGGAATAAAGACGCGCACCATCACCGTCTGAATCTGGTCATCATGCCGTTTGGTTACAATTACAAGTACTTGTGCGGCAGCTGCGGCGGAATCGGGTACTCGGTCGGATACAAATGTTATGAGTGTATTGAACGGCCCAATTACCACGTGCGTTGTGTCCTGTGGCATGCTAATCATGCTTATCATTTGTCTTCCTCCTTCTCTTAATATTATTCCTCACAACAACAAGGAATAAATGGAGTCCACTTGCTATATATGTCTCGTCCTTCTTCTCTTCAGTTTCAGCTTTTGTTTCCTTTTTATTGTTTAGTAATTCATAAACTTTATGGTTCTGCATGCGTGGATTGACTTGGGTTTGTAATTCATATTATACTAGTAATCAGTCCGCGCTCTGCGGCGGGATATGTTTGACTTGTGTATTTTTTATTTTTTTTTTCTGTTGCAGTAACGCAGAGTCGGAGAGAATGCACACATGCTACTTGAAGTTAATGAAAATGAGGATCATGATGCACATCCAAGTAATTCAAGAACTACTCAAACACACATTCTTGCAAATCATGAATCAACAGCAATTTTCTTGCGTGACCGCTCACCATAATTATAAATCAACTAAAATCACATATTTCAATGTCAACAACGTCTAAGGGGTTGTGTGCAAAATCTAATCCACCCATACACAATTATTTTCCATGCATCATCGCCATTTGTGTAGAGGGAAATTCATCAATGGCAAATAATAGAAACTTATTCACATTTTTATAATCTGAAAGAGAATGTCTCATCTTCCAAGCTTGTCACTGAAAAGTGAAAACACATAGAAAAGAACTAATTTCAAAATGAATAATAGCTAAACATGTAAGGTTAAAACTGAAATGAAGAAACGGGAATGTTAATTCAAGTTCCAACGAACTTGGATTTGAGATTAAAATGGGTTTGGTAGAAAGCAACCTTGTGCTCTGATCGTTGGAACAAATTTATTTAATTGCAAAAATTGAACTATTTTCAAAAGATACAGGATACAATCTTTCCATTCAACCACACTTGATACATGATTCAAATAAGCCAACACATGGGCGGCGGTATTCGGCAGCAGTCTCGAAAAACACAAAACCGAAGCCTCGAGATCTTCCTGCATCCCTCTCGTAGATGACCTTGGCGCTCAAGTACCCAGGCTGGTTAGCAAAGACTTGTTTAAGAGATTGAGATGTAACGCCTAAGCCGAGATTCCCAGCATAGATCGAAAGCTGAAGACATAGCGAGAAATCAGAGCATAAAGGAGAGAGAAAGAGGCCGAAGTAAGCAGGGAAAAGTAGACCACCGTGAAGGGGAAAGCATCTTTTTAGAGATAGTGGAGAAGTCGTATGAACCCACCGCTGGCGACCGGACTCAGAGCGTTGCCATTTCAGAATTGACCCACCGTGAAGAAGGCCTGGCTAGTACACCATCGACTCCCGTCAATCCCTAGCGCAAAAAGAACCTGTGGATCTGGACATTCTTCGGATTCCTCCCCTGAAGGGGCGGGGGCGTCATTAGCCTCGGAAGGCTCGGTGGAGACGTCGGAGCGATCGGCGAGGGAGAAGTAGTAAGGGAGGTCGACGGTCTTGCCGCTGGAGAGGAAGAAGAAGGTGATGGAGATCAGGAAGAGGAAGAGGAAGAAGAATAAGGCGAATCCGACATCGCGGCGGGGCGGTGGCGGGGAGGGATTGACGGGAGTCCAAAGAGTGGATAAGAAGCAACGGCGAGTTGAAAGAGGAGAGGGAGGGGAGAGGGTGAGCGATGATGATGAGAGAGGAGGGAGAGGGAGGGAAAGAGAGGGAGCGATGCTGATCAAGCAACCCCTTTGGACCCTAAAAACCACAGCAACACTTCTCCCAAAACTTATCCATCATCACCAGCAAGACAATCCCCTCGCCTTTTCTGCTTTCTTTCTCATCATTGCCCAGTCCGCTCTCTCCCTCAGCGTCGCCCAGTCTCCATCACAGAGCATCCATCAGCAGTAGTCTTCCCTCCTCACAGTGGTGAAGTTCCCAAAAATTCTCGGGCAGAGGAAATAACATGCGATTTTTTTTTTTTTTTTTTGACAAATACAGTTTCATTAAAACTAGGAAGTGTATAAAGTGGGTTAAAAACCCAGAGGAAAGACAACAAACAGAACCAGCAAAGAAGGAGAAAAGCCCAAAAACACAGGCCCAAAAATAAGTGCCCAAAGACCAAAACACATTAGCCCACAAACACCCACAAAGAGCCCACACCAGGACAAAACCCCAACCCTAGCTGATTCCATCATCTATGTGCAGCCGCCGTCGCTGGTAACAACATCATCCGCCGACCACCATCACAACCCAGCACCAGAAAGAGAGAACCAACTCCACTGGAAGCGAAAAGAGGCCGGAATGCAAAAGCCTACCACCCCAGATGCGGAACGAAGCAAGACGAGCACAACAGAACCAATACTCGCCTCTCAACCTTACCTCATCGGACCAGAACGTCTTCAGATGCTCCCAGAAGGCCATGCACGAGCCGATCTTCAGAACGAATGGGCGTCCGACGACAAAACACATAGATCGAGTCTCTGTCTTCTGATCTCCCCGCTGAGTCCGAGCCGATCCACAGGGGAAGGCTACTAGCATCTCCGAAACGCCGAGATCAGCAGAGCGAAGCAAGGAGGTAGACGAGAGGCGAGAAGACGAGAAGACAAGCCGATCTTAAGAATCAAAACCAGCCACCCTTTGCCACCACGAACAAAAGATCTCTAGATCTGAAGAATCAGAACAGAGCTGGAAGACAATCATCTCTAGAAGAGAGATCGAAGGAGAAAATCCAAAAGAGGATCTGAAATAGGAAAGCAAAAGGAAGGAAAAAGAGCGATTGAAAAGATGGGGCGGAGGGCTGCCACCGGTCGCCGGAGAGACGCCGGCAGCAGCCCCTAAAAGGGATTTGGAAAGAAAAGTTTAGAGAGAAGACAGAGGCTTATTGGAGAGAAGACAGAGGAAAGAGAGTAGAGAGAGAACTGTCTCTCACATGCGATTTGAAGGAGGGAAGGATCGAGAGAGATAAAGAGAGAAAAAGTGAATATGAGGGGGATTCGAGGGCCACGTGATGTCCACAGCAACAATAGAGGGCAAAACCGCCGGGCCCACACACAGGTGATCAGCCAATAAGAAAAGGCGGTTGGGTACAATCGCAGAGCAGGACCAATCAGAGGAGGGTGAATAGTAATTCTGAGTCTAAATGAACAGGAATTTCGTGTCTAGGCCAACAGTAAATTCGGTCTTGGTGCACAGGAACTGTGTCTTTGCAAATAACTTGTTTTAATATTGGCTCAACTGCTCAAGGTTTGAAATAATCAGTCTTAATTGATAATCGATGTTTTTATTCGTCGTCGATGTATATCCAAGTACATCCAACAGTCAAATTATGAGTAGTACTGTATGTTATTAGTAAGATGATACTATCTAGATCGTGAATTAACGAGAATTTTGAGTATGATAAACTGTAATGCGTCAACCATAAGCTCCCAATTAATTGATCTCTAGACCTTATACCCTAAATTGTTGCATATGATACATTGTTCGTATTTTGACAAATCAGAATCATCATTTTTTTTTGTTTTTAATGAATTTGATCGCTTAGAGTTTAGAATTGAGAGAAGAGTCTTAGAGTTCGACTCATTAAAGTTTAGGCCTTTAGGGTTTTGTACAAAACTCCAATTTTAATTAATTCACAATCTAGATAACATTAATTTAGCAAAAGTATGTGATATATCCCAAATTCGCCAAAGGTAGCACATATATATATTAGAGTTATGAAATGGGAGAAAACTTAGTTAAGTTTCCGTTGCATTTCTTGACACCTGAAGGGCCATGTTTTCCAAGATTATACTTGAGCATTTAGAATGCACCATAATAAGGGTGGAAAATTTAGGCCCAAATATGTTTTTTTGCCCGGACGAAGTACAATAGGGTAGGAAAAAAGTGGGAAAGTGTTAAATATTGTTTAACTCGAATAAATTTAATGCTAATTACTTTAGTATCGTAGTTACGTATATTTAATTGAATTCATTATCTATGTTTCATCAATAAATGGGTATTTAAATTATATGTATACTAAGGATGGAAGATGAAACATTGTTGGAACAATCGTCTGCCTCTGTGTAACACGCGTTCCACCAATGAATGGGTATTTAAATTATATGTATACTAAAAATCTATACTTTATAATAATAAAATGTTTGTTAAATATAAAAATGTATGCATTAGCACGTTTTAAAGCATCAATATGTACATTCTAGGTCCAAGTGAAGTGAAAGAACGATGTATAAATTGAACATATATAAAGTGAAAGCATTTAGCACTTAATGAATTGAACATATATAAATTGCCCATTGGAAATCTGATTTGCGTACACAATTGTTAGCTACTTCCCATTTATTTGGAATACAGACCAAGAGCGAGGAGCTCACTTATAGGAAATCTGATTTGCATACACAATTGAAGCAGAAATTGATTAGATTGATGTCTGATGAGTGATGACAAACATCCTCTTTGTCCTGCAGAATTTCTTGCTATCTTCAAGATTCCTACAACCACGATTCACACAAAGGATTAAGGACTTAGATATGACCATAATATGTATTGGAATAAATAAGAGAGAAAACGTTCAAGTACCTGTGGCAAGGGCATGAAATCCCAGTCATTCACAGTCACAATCACTTTACTTCCCTCTTTCATTTGCCTCTCCCTCATGCTCCTTCTAGTCTCTGAGATAAAACTTGGTGGCATATTGGTCAGAATAAGCTCCTTCAACATGGTCAAGTTTTGCAATCCTTGGGTTTCTCTCAGCTTCATGCACCGCCTGATCTCCATCTCTCTCAGTGCAGGCATGGATCCCTCGCACACTGTCAATTTATCCAGCTCCTCCAACACCCACAGCTTCAGGACTCGCAGCTTGGGAAACCCTTTTGGATGGCAGGTCATTTCTTTCCCCAAGTAGGACTGACCAAATAGCCTCAGGATGTTGAGCTGCGGCAGCTGTCCCAGAGTCTCCATCGGGTCATTCTTCAGCTTTGACAGTGACAGTGTGAGGATCTTCAGGCTCTGTGGAAGTGTCCCCATGTTTGTCTCTTCCGGCAACTTTCCAAGCAAGTACAGGTCAGAAAGCTTGTCATGACATGAAATGTCCGGCAGTGCGAGATCAGAAGGCCTACTAAAGCGGTCGATCGATCTCAACTTCAAGGACTTGAGTCTAGTGCATTGAGATATCCATCCACTTATTTCAGAAAGTGATCTAGAATGACATGTTAACCCGAGTCTCGTAAGACTCTTCAACCTGTTCAACCACTCCATTGAAGGAACTGTTTTGCCAATCATCAACCCCCAAAGTGTCAGAAGGTTGGTTAGTGATCCTTGAGCTAGCAGTTGCTTTGATTGAGCAGATTTATCAAGATGAATCTCGTTCAGGTAAAGATGGCGCAGCTTCTCTGAATCCCAGATGGAGATGGGCAACGACATGATGTTTGTGTGCTTGAGATCCAAAGTTTCCAGGCTAGGAAGGTTTCCTACAGAGTTTGGAATGGAATCCAAAAAAGTCCATCTCAATCCCAAATACTTTAGCAGCAGAAGCTTTCCTATATCCTCAGGCAACACGGGTTTGTATATGTTTTCCAGGTCGAGAACTCTGAGCAGTCCAAAACCCTTGTTGTTGATAACTCTGCTGATGAACTCGCCCACTTCTTTTGTAGGCATGTCTCCCTTTTTGGTGTTGAAGCAAACATAGGAGCGCAGATGATCAACATCATAGTCACTAGAATCAACATACTCAGCAACTCGTCGAACCGTTTGTGGTGCTGAAGAATCATCCGACTTGTTGTCATTGTGCTTCCTGTGACAGTGATAGAACCCTGCCTCGACAGCATTCGAGAAAATGTTGTCGTGGAGAATCCCCGGAGCACGACAGGTCCGTGGACTTCCATCAAGCCTCCATCTCTCAACTTCTATCATGTTTCTCTGCACCAGCTGTTTGAAACTTGACTCTACAGCTTCCTCAGGAGTTAACTTATCATCAGAGTGATAATCTCCAAACCCTTCAGCAGCCCATAGATGCAACAATCTCCTTGTTGGGATCACATATTCTTTTGGGAAAATGCCCAAGTAAAGAAGACAACTCTTCAATGTTGCTGGAAGTTCCCAGTAAGCAAGAGACACGATGGATTGGGAAGATCCTTCTTGGAAAGTTGCTACGTCTACCACTTTTGACCAATCTTCCACTGCTTTTGATGATAACAAACCTGCCAAGATGATCAAAGCCAGAGGAAGACCATGGCATTTCTCCAGTATTTTGGCTTTCAACTCTGCAGCAATCAACCCATCTTCTTCTTTCCTGGCTTTCTTCATAAACAAAGCCCAGCTATCTTCATCATTCAAGTCCTTGAGCTCAACCTGGTAGACCCCCGGACTAGTGATCACTTGTGCTTCTCCCTTGTCACGGAAGGTGAGAATCACTTTGCTTCCGTTCAAGGAGTTCGAAAAGACTGCCTTGAGACGGTTCCAGTCAGCTGCTTTCTTGACGTAATCCAAAACCACAAGGTACCTTTTCCGCATCAGCACATCGGAGACCCTCTCCTGCAGTTTCTCAGGAGGAAGTCGCTCGTCGACGTCCTTGAGGAAAGCCATTTGTTTCAGTATCTCGACAAGCTTGACGAGAACGTCTTTCTCGACAAACTCTGTCTCTAGTACAATCCATACTCGGAGTTGGAAACTTTCGGCCACTTCCTTGTTGTTGTAGACTCGCCTCACGAGGGTGGTCTTGCCGGATCCCCCTGGCCCCACCACCGTAATGGGGAAGTGTAAGGTGCTTCGTCTAAGGATAGCTGCTGTTAGATCCTCTTCTTCCTTCTTCCGTCCGACCAAATCCTGCTCGTCGTCCAAACGCTCTGACATGCTCCCTGTTTGCTTTGGTACTTGTTTTTGGTTTGAAGCAACAGTAGGGTTCTCTTCTTTGCCAAGTCTTTCCTCTGAAGCACTTGCCATTTGAGTAGGCATTTTCTCTGGCTCCTGACCATCTGAAACATTTTGGCGAATCTATCTATTAGGCTAATATAGAGAAGTTAGGATACCAACATCCTTATGGTTGATGCAAATGTGTTGAGGTCGAGTCCATACCGAAAAATTCACCTCCCTGAATCGCGATACTATAAATCATCGAATGTATACGAACAAACAACTTGTATATTCAAACTAGTAATACAACAACAATAAAATAATGCATACCAACAAGTAGACTTTCATAACTAAACCATAATCAATCTCTATCCCAAATAATTATGAATCCATACCAAAAAATTGTAGAACTCGAGTTTATGATATACATTTGCATAATTAATGAAGTCAGTTATTGTTTGTATCAATATGGCGTTTGCTAGTCCCTGCATCCTCTCAACCCGAAAGAAGAGAAACCGCTAGCTTTTCGCTGACCTCCTCAACACAACACATAATGGCTCTTCTTGGTGGGGATGGAATGGAACCAATTTGGGACCAGAGCTTCCAAAAGACACTCGTTTTCTTTGTTAGCGCGAATTGTCAGTATGGAAGCTAAGACAGAGAGCAACAGCTAGAGAGACTGAGGCAGTTCGACAAGATTAAGCAAGTCTGGCAGAAGATTCTCGAAGAGGCAAGAGGGCTTACCCGATTGAGAATGGCATAGCAGGGTCGAAGAATCCGAATACGATAGAAATTGTATAGAACCCTAATTTCTTTGTCATGCTCGGCCTTCAGGTTCAAATCCGGGTTTCCTTCGGCTTCCACAACAAAGACGACTCCCTTCTAGTTTCATTATGCTTGGATTAAGCTTCCCCAAATCAACGAACAGATCGACAAACGCTAGCAATTTGGGTTTCATTGCTTCCAGGCAGGGGTGTGGGCGGTTTCGAGTGAGAGCTACGGATCGGTGAGAGTTTGGTTCTGAAGAGCACGAGTGGGAAAAGAATATTTTTATTATCCCTTCTCGTCGAAAAAGAGTGGGCAAATGATAAACAACTAACCACGGTACTTTTCAGTTTTGGCCCTTACAAATTTATTAACTACCGTATTAGTCCATTAACAAACACCGTATGTTAATACCAAATACCATAGTGGCATAGTTAATAATGCAATATTAACTATGGTATCCAATACGGTAGTTAATAATACACTATTAACCACAGTATATTATACGATGGTGAAGTTACCGTGGTTAAAAATGATGTTTTCTTTAGTGTGCCTCAGCTGCGGGGTATATATTGAACGTGAGAAGAAGAAGCAAAATTAGGGATCGATTTTGAGTTGAAATGACCATTTCCTTTTGGAGGCGGTCGGTAGCTGGGAGGCCAGGGGTTGGATGCAGTCTTCACTGTCATTGATAAAGTTTGTTTAATCGGCAACCATTGCAGTAATGGTTGCTCAAACATTAATTATCAACAAAGACTAACAACTATTTTGATAATGGTTGGTGAAGTATTGCCATTTTGGCAACTATTCTTCAAATCGTTGCTCAAATTTTGCTCAATCGGCAACCATTTAAGTAATGGTTGCGCAAACATCAAGTATCAGCAACTATATTGATAATGGTTGGTGAAATATTGATTTTTCGGCAACCATCATGCAAGTCGTTCTTCAAACTTTGCTCAATCGGAAACCGTTTAACTAATTAAGTAATGGTTACTCAAACATCAAGTATATAAAACTATTTTGATAATGGTTGGCCTGGTGAAGTATTGACCTTCCAACAACCATCCTAAAAGTCTTTGCTCAAATTTTGCTCACTCGACAATCATTTAAGTAACGGTTGCGCAAACATCAAATATTATCAACCATTTTGATAATGATTGCCGAAGTATTGATTTTTGTACATTCATTTAACATATAGTGGTTGAAGAGTTAGGTATCGGCAACCATTTGCAAAATGATTGCAGAAGTTTTGGCCTATTGACGACCATTTTACCATGGTTGCTCAAAGGTTGGGCATCAGCAACCATTTTCTAAATGTTAGTCAAAAGCCTAGTTATCATCAACCATTTTCATATGGTCGACAAGAAAGTGGTTGTTGAAACCCATTTTTCTTGTAGTGATTCCAGGTAAATGATTACCTTCGACACAGTCAAAGCGGAGTATGGAACGAGTATGGGTAAACATGTAATTTTTTTGTTGGGTATGGGGAGGATATGGTGTTAGCTCCCCCCCCCCACCCCATATCTACATCCGTCGCATCAAAAGTATTTCTTCATATATAAAAATATATATAAATCATGTTGTAACATCTAAATGATAGGAAGGACAATTCAAAATAAATAAGGAACTGAAATGCAATTGATTGGTCACTCAAACCAAAAACTAATTTCTTGTCCTTAATTCAACACTTCGGTCTTGCACTTTCTCCCCTTTGTTAACAAGATTATATTAGTTGTTTATTGTTTAGTAGATGTGCCAAAGTCGGAGATGAATGATTTGAATAATATTATATTTTTGTATGGATTAATGAATGTTTTATATGATTTGATGATTTGAATTCGTATTAAGAATGTTACGTTGTCTCTTGATTGATTTTCTAATCTATTAGATCCGTTTAGTTTTATTAGATCCGTATTAAGAATGATATTAATATCTACATGTTAAATTCAGTAACGGTAGTAATCTTAAATATGTGATTTATTACCCACAGATACTAAGCTTGGGATGCGAAGCTTGGCTCACCTATGTTCCTGGATCGTCGAGGCAGAGCCTCGAGGATCTGCTCCATTTTGCCGGCGAGCACCTCCATCTGGCCGCCGACCAGCCGGATTTGCCTCCTGGTCGACGCTCTCCGCAGGGCGAACCACAACGGCCCGGCGAAGACTTCTCTCCGTCTGTGGAGTTGTTGTTGGACGTTGACGTTGAAGGCGTCGACGCAGTCCTCGGCGTCGTAAATCCGGCCGAGGAGGTCTCTGTCTTTCTCCAGCTCTTCAATGTCGATCTCTTGATTGGTGGTGTGGAAGAGCATGTCGCGGAGAGTCCGGAGTGCTGATACGCAACGATGGATTTTTTCCGCCGACGGTTGATGTGTGATTGTTGTTGACTCTTCGCCGGCGAGCATGGCCTGTAGCTTGTCTATGAGGGGTCCGAGAGAAGTAACCACCGCCATGCTTGCTTGATTGCTTTTCCGATCTAAATTGAATTTGGGGGAAGAGAAATCAACCGTAAAGGTAAAATCGAATTCGGGATGCATAATATTTATGGAGGAGCAAGATCGATTGTCACCTTCTGCTGGAGTTTAAGGACTGATTCGTTGTGAGAATCATAGGATTGAGTGTGTGTGTGTTTTCACCTCATTTCCATGTGAGGTTTGAGAATCATATGCTTGAGAGTTGAGTCCAACTCCAAAGGAAGGTATTATTTTATATTTTTATCTGGTCCATTTAGCTTAGTTGTCGAAAAGCAGATAGAGCTTGGAAAACTCCAAGCCGAGATGAATAGCTGTTGCTGAGTTTCATTTGGGCTAAAATGTAGCCGGGCTAAACATTTGGGCTTTTCCCCCAGTTGCCAACCACCGAGGCCCAGTCTCATGGTTTAGCTGGGCCGTGAGCTCACTAATCAGCATTGTTGTTGGTTTTCCTGATTAAATCAAAACCCAATAATGTTAATTTCGACCATTATGATACAGGGCTCAATGAGATCTGATCACTTATTTTAAAGTATAATGTTCTCTATTAGAGCAACTTAACAAATTAAAGTAAGAGTTACTAGGGCCGGCGTGAATTCACCAATCAGCAATCGTCATTGATATTTTTTACCAAAATAAAATAAAATAAATGAGTTATAGGATGAGAAAATCATTGTTGGTTTCCTGTTAAATTAAAATTCAGAAGGTAAAAATTGTGACAACCATGTTAATAAGATCAATCATGCATGCTAAATGATTCAATCAAGATAGTAAGTAATTTAAATTACACGATCTGATAAGCTTTTCTGCAATATGATATTCTATACGGTAGCAACTAAACCAACTTTAACCCAAAATACTGGTCCGTGAACTCACTAATCAACCATTGTCATTGATGCTTTACGAAGAAAAGAATGTGTTGCCGACTTGCGAGATGAGAAAATAATTTTTGATTTTTTCCCCATTAAATCAAAATTCAAAGATAAAAATTTCGATAATCACCATAACATATAACACGAATTATCACATTACAAAATAATCGATTTTTCAGATACGTACACCGCCCTAAGCTTCAAAAATTTTCCTTGTGCGATCTTTCTTCTCACTTTGATGCAGGAAAAACTCCCATTTCACAGACACTTTACTACTGACATGTTGATTAATTTCTTCACTAGTCATTTTCTCATGTGTTGACAGAGTGACAACCCTTTTTCAACCAGCTGCTGAAAAAAAAAAATCTGTCTGTATCGGATGAATATGCCAATTCATTGCATGATTGCTTTCGTTCTCCTTTTCTTCTCCAGGACCAGAACCCACCTTTCGGAAAGGAGCAAAATAAAAGCACAAATAAAAAAGCTGGGGAAAAAATTAAGTACAAGAAAACGAGCAAATTGGCCAAGTGGTGGGTGGTTCATTATTATTAGAGCACATGTCCAGTTTCTAGACGTTAGCACCTACTACGCTTTGATTTACCCCCATAACAACATAATACAGCAACAGTAGCAGTCAAATTCAGTTTGCTAGCTGCCGACTCCTCCTCTCTCATTTCTTTCTGGAAGAGTGTAGTAAAGTGGCGCAAGCAGGTTTGGGAATGCTTGTAGAATGCTTCGTCAATGTTCTTTGGCTAGGTATAAAATACATTTTCGGAATTCAGAGATTCGGAGTACAAAGACTATCTCGTTTCGATATATAACTCGGATCGTCGAGGAAGATTCAAAAACGGCATGCTTTATAATTTACTATTTCTATTGTAGGTCGTATAATACGGTATTTACAGAGCGATTCAATTAGATGGGATTCGTGTTTCAATAAAAGTTCGTTGAGCTTGATATGTGCACAAACTCACCCGATTGATTACCTTGTCATAAGGTAAATCGAACACACCAATATATGTAATATGAGTTAGCATAATGGAACATATACCGTAAGGGAAGTTGTACACAGATTCATGTATGGATCTCTTCCTACAATTCGAATTATTGGAACCGGTCGATTTATGACATGATATCAGAGATGGTCTCGTATTCAAATCCTCACGACCTCAATGTAATAACATTCGACTATGCAAACTTTTAAGTCCGTGAGTTGCTTTGAGTTGAGAAAGTATGTAAAGAAATTATATACATTCATACATAAATCTCAACCAACAACGTAACTCGAGTTATTCAGGACATTCTTGACATTTCATTTTACATGAAAATTACGAATTCATCCCAACAACCACCATCATTAACCGGGAAAATTCATAAACAAATGATATGCATATATAATATCATTTTACTAATTGAACACTTAAGTACCATATGATCAAATCTAATCCAAACGGATTTTGAATGTTGACACCGCTATCATTATAAAATAATTAATTGATGCGAATAATTTCATTATTATTATTATTTGGTGCCGTACAAAACAAAAATTCAATCATGAACAATGCCCACAGCCGCGCCCCACCCATAAAACGGCAACATCAAAGATACGAGAGAGACAACCAGAGCCTTCGGAAAAGTGGAGAGTCAGCCAAACCGGCTAGTGAGCGCACGAAAGTTGAATACATGTTCATCTTTCATCATGGTTGCCAACTTCGAAGTTATTTGATATTTGTCATACAATCAATTTTCGTTCTAATTTTATTCGATGTCTTCGAAAAGAATTTTGACTCCATAATCCACTTGTATTATAAGGAGGTTTCATATAGATATTTTTTTATTGACTAGAGGGGAAAGAATTAGTAATATACATGCATATATTGCAAAGTAAAGCAAGGTAGGTTATTGGTATTTTCTTTCTCCTTCAATACTCATTTTCAATTTCGGGCTTTAACATAATTGCATAGAAAAAAAAATCTCTATATGATGTACATGAGGAACTCCGCACAAACATTTGATCTCGGTCGTGTAATAAACTCACTAATTCAGTATATCCAGCTGGGAAGACCTAAAGATGTTCGCCAAATCTTATTATCACTCTTTCAGTTTTGCGGGTACCGATACCGAAGAAAATTAATTACAGAAAATTTCATCTCATTCTTCTTGTGTCAAACGACAAATCGGGTCATATTTAAGAGTTGAAAAGAAATGAGTGGATATTTCTTTTATATAAACATTAGCGCTTCATTTTTGGGAACTCGCATTAATTAGCACAATTTATTGGAAGACACCAATTCGAACACGACAACATTAACTAGGTACATGGACTTGAAATTCGATCGATATGTATTCTAAGTGTGAACTATATATTTTTCAAAGCCAAGAAAGTTTTCTTTCTCTTGTTAAAAGTCTCATATTGTTAGATATTTGGCATTGAGTAAGAAACTAGAGGAGCAAGCTATAGTCTTTTCTTTGATCTTCCATAAATAATTTTCCTATTCTTTGCCCTCTCTCGACAGGAACAGGTCTCACTATAGAACTCCTTGCTCATCATCAACACATGTCTGTTGGCCATTGGAGAATTTGGACACGCCTTCTATTTCTAAAACGAGGTGCCCAAACAATACGCAATTTTCCCACTTGATCAGAGTCATGGTTTATACCATAAAAATATATATAATTTGAAAAGCCATTAAATACTAAAAAAATAATTCAGATGATCATATCGTGTAGCCACACAATGAGGGTTCAACTACTATTGTTTCCACCTGGATTTGGAGATCATACTAATGATGATTAGGGCTTTGATTGGACTCCTTCGTTTGATTTCCTTGTGAGTGTAAGAATTTGTGGAGAGGACATGAGGTTTCCGTGATCTACATTCCGAGTCTAGGTTAGTACAATATCAGAACAATGGGGTATGTAAAGATGTAAAATAGATCGAATATGGCTTAGAGAGAGGATCATACAACATGTGTGATGAATCTTAAAATGGAAGAGAGGATCTCTAGTTTGGACTTTGGAGGTTTGACTATCCTTATATGGAAGTCAGGGGCTTCCGGTTAATAAACGGTATATGATGCACAATTAAACATCTCTCAATAACTCGAGTTATTGGGATCAACTGATTCTTGACATTGTAGCAGAGCGTTCTGTGACCGAGAGGTCTCCTGTTCAAATTCCATGACCCCATATGTTTCTGTTAATCATATGATGCCCGGACCTGTGCCCGTGCAAACTCCAAGCCTACATGAGTGGCTTGAGTTTGAGGGGGTGTGTTAATAAATGATATATGATCCACAATTGAACCTTTCCCAACAACTCGAGTTATTGAGATCAACTTGTTCTTGACACTTCCTTGCTGAGATGCCTTGAGATCTCCTCAAGGAGACGCCTCGAGGCTTCCTTGAGGAGATGCTTGTGACCTCTAAAACTCGACTTTGATATCAACGGATGCATTCCGATACTCGCTATCAGTAAAATATTGTAAATTTTGGGGCAAACTTTCACAGACTTAATTTTGGACACCTTCTCAAAAGACAAAATACTAATGGAGTTAGGTGGACATTTATATATAATAGTTATTTCCTCTTGTATATTTTTTTAGTTGATACACTTGGATTTAGCGATTTAGCGCTGTGTAATTGTCCGATCAGGTATGGACCAAATCAAACTATGAGAACCACAGTTCAATATTACATTCGACTTGATTCGATTCGGTCCAAATATCAATTTGATTCAATGGGTGGAGAGAACCAACGAACAGCCCAGATTATAACCCATGCGGCCATGCCAACATATCCAGATTATATAAAATATTATCATTATTTATTAGATTAATCACGCTTAAAGTGCCATGCGTCGGCTCCCAAATTCCAAAACGTAAGCCCGATTTAATCAACAAAGGCGAGACTCTAAGTGAGAGTGACGCATCTTCCCCTTACTGTAATTTCCTTATTAAGCTTCCTTTTTTTAAAATCACTAATCAATTATATTTTTCCCATTCCTTTCCCTAGATTTTTTTTTTTTTTCCAAAGGGACAGCACAGCCATACCTTCCTATATATAAATACGACGAGCTTCTGCACCAGCTAAACTCTTCCTTCTCCCGGCCACAAACCCCATAAAATCCGGTCCTCGAAGTTACTATGGTCAGCGGCTTCCCGACGCCGGCGGCGATGGATGTGGATAGCAGCAACAATCAATCCCCGTACAAGATCAGCCGCTCTACTTCGACCGGCAGGTCGGCGGCGGCGGCGACGAAAGGCCCCGCTCCATTTCTGTCGAAGACGTACGACTTGCTTGATGAAAGGCCTTCGTCGTCATCGTCGTCTTCCGGCGACGGCGGGAGCATCATATCGTGGAATGAAGACGGGACGGGGTTCGTGGTGTGGTCGCCGGCGGAGTTCTCGGAGCTGATGCTGCCGCGGTACTTCAAGCACAACAATTTCTCCAGCTTCATCCGCCAGCTCAACACCTATGTGAGTATAAATTAAATTTGAATTAATTACCTCTTTTTACTATTTATTAACGATAAATTCTCGTGTAGATCATACTGAATGAAAATAAAATAAGTATCAAAATCGAATAGAAATATTTCGTTTTAAGTGAGAAATCAAACTTTTTTTTTATTTAGTTTGACTAAATCGAATCTAATGTGTACAGAATTGCTATAAATTCATGAATATGAAATCACGAATTAATATTTTTACTTAATATTCTCTCTTGGGTACTTTTTTTTTTGTGTCTAGTATTACTCACTGCTTCCGTGTCTATCACGGTTCCTTTGTTGGTGGGTGGACTTTTTTACTGTTTGCTTTTGTTTACCATTCAAAAAAGGGACTCTTCTAGTTCTATCCTCTCAAAAGTTATCTAAAAAGTAAAATATAAATTCATCTTAATTGCTAGCATGAAGATAGATGGGAGGAAAAGGGACTAAGAGGCATGAAGTTTGGTAGGTAGGAGTATGACTCATTGTATTAAAGATGTGAGTCTAACGTTTCATTTATAAGAGATTGTAATCGTTTGGTAATTGATCAGTCGTACAAGCAGTATGATCGAACAATATATAATGGCGTCATTTGTCACATGAACACTTGTATGATCAGCCAAATCTATTAACTCGACTTTTTAGTCGATTATTAAACAATGACATCAGATTTGTGTGAAAAATCTTAGTTGCAAGTGTTTAACTGACCTTTTTTAAACTCATCACATGATAATTGATATATTTTGTTTCTCTTTTTTGGTTAATTAAAAAAAATATTATGCTAATTAAGATATCATAAAAAATCATGTTACTTCTTACTATAACAGAGTACCAATGTGAATAGTGGACAGTTTGTCTTCAAATTGCAATTAATCTATGATAAATTTCAAAGGGGGAGAAAGTATAAGTCAACATAATCAAACTTTAGGTGGAATATCACATGTGTTATGACTTGGTGGGAAGTTGTTATGAAGCTTCTAATAAATTTCCCTCGTGCATTAGTTTCCAAACATTTCATGCAAATTGATCTCTCCAAGGTAAAATCTGTCACATGGCAATTTGGCAAGTAGCACTTTTTTTAATTTGACGAGGAATATTGACCTATTTCAATGACTCCCAACCACATGGATATGATCTTAGATCATATGATATCAAACGTTTTTGTTAATAAAAATGTTTTGTGTTTAGTTCATGCTCTCCGATCTTATGGTAGGAGGATTATTTTATAAATTTTAATACTAGTAGGTGAACTATAATTGATAATAACCTTTGTTATGGAAGGCTCTCATTATAAACGCATACTCAAATACTTATTTGAGAGAAGTACGTGAAATAGAAGTAGTGTAGATAGATCCATTATTTGAACTCTCGATTTGTTATATGATGAGCTACAGGGATTCAAGAAGACATCATCGAAAAGATGGGAGTTCAAACACGAGAAGTTCCAGAGAGGCAATCGAGAAATGCTCGTGGAGATAACTCGCAAGAGGTGCGAGCCTAGTGTTTATCCTTCATATTTGAAGGCAGCAACTAACTCAAACCAAGAAGATAGACAAAGTCTTAATCACGAACAACTAGTGGAAGAGAATTCGAATTTGAGAAAGGAGAAATTGGAGCTACAAACCCAACTTGCTCAGTTCAAAGATCTGAAAGTGAAGTTGTTGGACTTTGTGGGTCACCACATGCGAAATAGCAATGACCAACATGTCAAAAATGGAAGGATTTGCTAGAATTAATAGAAGTAGTTGCATATAGTGTAAAATAAGTTTATTTGTTGTTTATCAAAAGGAGGGGCAAAATGAAAACCCTTTAGCTCTTGGAGTTTTAGAGATTGTTGATTTAAGTTTGCATAGAATTAGGGGCTAATTGGAAGGGTTAAGGCTTCTCTTGTCAATCTTATGACAAATTAAGTTGCCAATGGTGACAAAGAAGTTGTCTTTTATATGACTTTTTTTTTTTATCAATTGGCAACTTTTTGCAATCCTCACTTTGATGACTTTTTTCATTATGTATCATTATCAATAACTTTGTTCACAATAATGACAGGAAAGAATTTCAATTGATTAATAGTACATAACATTTGCTTTATCCTATCAAACCTCATCTTAGTGGTCTTGCCTTCCTGCAAAAATTAACAAATTCCAATCCAATAGTTCTTGAGGAATATTCTAAATAGTGTCTTATGAGACAATCCATGTTGAATGACAGAATTTTGAAATGAAGTCATCGTGAAAGAAGATATAAATAAAAATGAAAGTTTAAATCATTATTACTTGGCATATAAATTTTCGAGGATAGATTATTCTTTGAATTGACGACGAGAGATAAGCTAATAGGCGAGATTCGACGATAACAACTGAAAGACATGTCTACAGGACGAAACTTGACATGTACGTTAACAATCATGCTGAAGCTCAAGCATAGCAGCAGCGAATCCAGAAATGACCAGTCTAACCAAGAACAACACATATACTGGTTCACCAATGGGAAAAACCATGGGACTACATTAGGCAGCGATCCAACTTCCAAGGTCCTATATGACATTGTTTAAAACAAACTCAGACTTTCACAATCCACCCAAGAGATCAAAGACACATATAAACTAGATCTCTACTGGGACAAGGTCGATTTCAGCGCCCCGTCCTTCCGCAGTTCAAGGACAATGTCACAACCTCCAACTAGTTCTCCCTTGTAATAAAGCTGAGGAAAAGTTGGCCAATTCGAGAACGCCTTCAGGCCCTGCCTCACTTCTTCATCACTCAAGATATCAAAGGACCCGAAAGCTACACCTTCCTCTTTCAAAGCATTCACAACCTTGGAACTGAAACCACATTTTGGAGCATCAGGGTTGCCCTTCATGAACAACATCACAGGTGAAGAAGAAACGAGATGCTTCAAACGGTCTTCCAGTGTAATTATCACACCTTTCTCAGACAGAACTTTCTTAAGCTCTCCACTTTTTTGCATCTCAAGCACTATGTCTGATCCCCCGATGAGCTCTCCTTTGATGTACAGTTGAGGGTAGCTTGACCAGTTTGAATAAACTTTAAGACCTTGGCGTACCTCCTCATCAGTCAGTATGTCGAAACTGCCAAAGTCGACTTTTTCCTCTCTAAGGATTTCCACCACCTTGCGACTGAAACCACATTTGGGTTCTTCGGGTTTTCCCTTCATGAACAGCATGACGGGACTCGAGTTAATCAAGCTCTCAAGTCGGGAGTCAAGGATGGCACTAAGACCAGTAGACTCTGTGATTCCTCCACCCTTGACTGCTGTCTCGGTACCCGTAACAATTCCATGATCTCTGAAGACTTCTTTCAATTCCCCATTCTCATGCATGGCGATTGCTATATCACACCCTCCTAGAAGTTCACCTTTGCAATAGAGCTGTGGGAATGTAGGCCAGTTGGAGAACTGCTTCAATCCCTCGCGGACCTCATTGTCTGATAGAATATCGAAAGTACCAAACTTCACATTCTCTTCTTTCAGTATGTTAACAACTTTCTTGCTAAACCCACACTGTGGAGCTTCGGGGTTTCCCTTCATGAACAGCATGACCGGATGGGAATCAATCAGATCTTGGAGTCGATTTCTCAAGGCATCACCCGTAGCTGGTTGTTTTTTCTGAATGATAGATTGAGTTGATCCATGTTCTTTAGCAAGCTCTTGAACCGTTTCAAGCACAGTGGGGCCAGCAGCCATTCCAAGGCTTGCAGGAGCAGCAGGATGTGAAGGATTAACTGAGCCCGCGATTTTGGCAACTTTGTTAGCCAAACTGGAAGGATCTGCACCTTCCAACTTGTCGAGAGTCTTTCCATCCTGATGGAGACAATTTGAGTCAATAATTATCAGAACATAGCACTGAATCTTTGCACAGCATACACGACTAACAAGAGCTTAAATCGTGCATACAAAATCATGAAGTAATTGATTCGTAAGATCACTTTCTGCTTACTTGAAGAAGTGAAGCGAGTGTTCAGCACAAGTGCTCAGGTAACGACTAAGTACAGAGAGGACTTTAATCAGATGTCCAAATTAGCTAACCACAGAGAACATTTTCACTTTATTGATACAAACTAAAATAAATCCCAAATACGAAGCAAATATAACTTTGAATCAATTCAACACAGTCACAAGCTATCACAAAGTCGTCCCATATCCATTTTCTTCTATCCCACCCATATTGCTGCCATTGCCATAGTCCTCATCCCACCATCCACTACCTAATGATTGAATTGGCCATCGCCCCTATACAACTAGCAACTTTTACTACGCTAGAGCTCAGCATTTCAGTAACGAGTAACGACTGCAACCCTTAAAGTGCAAATTCTGAGATAAGGCTTAGCACAAAATAATCGGACTCACCTTCAGGAACACGAAATAGGGCACAGCCGAAACAGAATAAGCCTCAGATATCTCGGGTTGCTCCTCAGCCTCAACCTACAGAACATTAGAGAAATCCCACCAAGTCAATTCAACAACAAACCTGCGAACTCCATTACTGGGTTGGAGGATTGACTGATTAAAACGGGAAGAGAGGAAAGGAAGCCGAACCCTTAGGAAATTGACGCCTGGGAAATCCGTGGAGAGATGGGAAAAGACTTGGTCCATGTGCTTGGAAGCATCGCACCACCCAGCCCAGAAGTGCAGAACCACCGGCGCTCCGGTCTTCAGCAATCCTTCGAGCTCCGCCTTCGACTGCAAGTCCTTCACCGCCCCGCCCATTCTTCTTCGCTCCTCTTCTCTCCCTTTCCGGCGCTCAGCTAAGCTTTGCTCCGTTTAGAAAAACCCTAGCATTTATATGTTCCGCCACCGTTGATCGAGAGACGAGAATCATGGCCTTCAATCTTCATGTGTCACTGAGTCGGAGAATAAAATCAACTCGGTGCGTGCCATTGGACCTGGGCCCATGAAATTGTAAACCTATTGGGCCGCATCTTGTGTCTTTAAAATGGTCACGAGGTTGAGCCCAGTAGAGAGCTCTCTCGTAGATTTCACTCTCTCACCTCCCCTGCCTCGTTGCCCTCTCTCCCGCCGGAGCACCGCCACTGTCTTTGCCGCTCCTCCGTCGCCATTTTCTCAATCAAATCCCTCGCCGGAAGTAGGAGGATTGTCCGTTGGGAAGGAAACAAAATGCCTCAGGTGAGGATTATTGCGAAGGACTTCAAGGACATGGTGGCGGCTTTGCCCGCCATGAAACTTGACATTCTCTACGAGAATCCATTCATCTGCGAAGCCATTCTCAGGTTACCCACTTGTGGCCTTCGCCGATCACGTACACTCGAGCTCTTAATTGACAGGGAAAATTCCAGAATGCTAGTTCAGAGTAGTTCATAATTTTGGTCTTCTGATTAATTAGGTCACTGCCGCCATTGGCGAAGAAGTAGGTCACTCAAATGTTGTTCTCGGAAGGATCAGTGACTCCAAATTGTTGGAGGAGTTGGTACTTCCTGATGGTTCGTCCAAGCACAGGGTCTCCATTGATAGGCAGGCTGGTTCAGCTTAGAATTTTTACTGAAGCAGTTGAAAGGTTGGTGCTTTTAGCTATATGCCAGAGAGGCAGGATGAGCCATCTCCTGTTCATGTTGGTAGCCGTGATTACGATAAGCCAGATAGAAATTATTATATCTATAAAAGAACAAGTAGCAAAACACTATTGCATAGTGTCCCATCAAAAACATGACTACTTTGAAATTAGCCAAACTTTTGAGGGGTTTAATGCTTTTTAAGTCCATGTTTCTAACCATATGACAATTACACCCAAATGTGGCAAGTCAATGTAGTCGTTGTAGTACCCGTTGACGTTTACGCCCAAGCCAACCAATTTTTAGCGCTTTTTCGTTGTAGCGGAACTACTTTGAAATTAGCCAAACTTTTGAGGGGTTTAATGCTTTTTAAGTCCATGTTTCTAACCATATGACAATTACACCCAAATGTGGCAAGTCAATGTAGTCGTTGTAGTACCCGTTGACGTTTACGCCCAAGCCAACCAATTTTTAGCGCTTTTTCGTTGTAGCGGATTTCCAGTTTAGTTTCCATGGTCTTGCCGTCTTTCGTTTTGTCACTTGTGCCGTTTACGCCTTTTCTGTGCCGGTGGGTCCTCTAGATTTTGCACCCGTTATTGGCGCTTCGCAAAACACTGTTGCATAGTGTCCCATTACAAACATTACCGCTTTGTAATTAGCCAAACCTTTGAGGGATTTAATGCTTTTCAAGTCCATGGTTTTGACATTCGTGTCAAGTCGGTGTAGTCCGTGTAATACCCGTTCATTTTACACCCAAGCAGCCAATTTTTTGCGCGCTGTCGTTGTAGTAGATCTTCAATTTTTGTTCCAGTGGTCTTGCCGTATTTTGTTTTGTCACTTGTGTCGTTTCTGCCTTTTGTTAGCCTTTTCATGTGCCGTGGGGTCTTTTATCTTTTTGATCCGTTGTTAGCGCATCCTACGACGAGGGTGACCTTTTCCTGCTATGTGTTCGTAACTTTGTCGATTTAGCCGAGTAAAGTTGTGGTAGAACTTTAGCTTGATTCCGTTTGTGTCACCGTCTTTTTATTTGTCCTTTTGGTAGCAAATCAACCTTTTGTTTTTGTTGTTGCTTACTAACGTTTCCTGTGTTGCCGGTCAATAGGGTTTTAGTTGCATTTGTATAGTCTTCCAAACTTTTTGCCATGCATTGCGGTGCAAATTCACTTGCCTATGCGACTTTTCACATAGATCTTCAAAGTAGACGTAGCTTAGTTTCATCTTTGTCAGCCAGTGCTCTATTGTGCCCTCTTATTCAAGTTTTTTTATGAGCCCGACTAGGTTAGTCACTTTTTCCCGTTTTGCGTTGGGGCCCAAAAAACTAATGCACTCTGCTTTCTTAACCAACTTTCACGGGACTTACCTGCTTTAGAAATTGGATTTGTGCATTCGTTAGCTTGTGCGTTTTACCTCTTTTTCGAGCTGGGCGTTTGGTCGGGTGTGGTGTTGTGCGCTTTGATTTGCCGGGTTTACCTGTCCTTCCTTATTAGTGACGCTTTTACCCGTCAGTGCTCTAATTTGAACACAACGACCATCTTGATTATGCATTTTAGAGAAATCGGAGTTTCTCGCTTTTTGTGTTTTCATGGTTATTATGCTTGTTCGTTATGCATCCTCTTTCATTTAATCCAGGTGGTGTTCGTCCCTGGACTAATTGAATCACTTGTCCTCGGTTAGGTTTGTTGCTGCGGTTTTTTATTTAATCGATGCCTTAAATAGTTAGTTCGGTTGGAGTGGGCTTTTTTTGTTGGCCAGCTTTTACAATCACTTTGTTTGTTATCCTCTTTACTTTGCTGGTTGGGCCGAGTAGACAGAACTTAGACTGGACACTTCTTGTAGGATGCGCCGCCAGACTAACTATGGTCATCGCTTCTTAGTTACTGCATCTGGTTTGGTTCAACGAAGGATCAGTTTGCCTATTCGTGCTCAATTATCCCTTTTACCGTTTAGACCACAGTCAAATTTTCGGTTATTGCGCTGCCGAGAGGACTTATATGATCTTTGGAAATCTCCTTTTGTTCCTTTTTTTTTGTTCTTTTCTTTTCCCTTGCTTTTTCATTCATCTGCTTGTCAGAAGTATTAGAGGGAAACTTTTTGGGTGCGCTTCAGGAGAGGAGGGACTTTGCAATTGCCTAGAATATCCCCCTGGATAGTCCCTGAATTCAGCCTGCTTATACACAGGTACAGATGAACAGCTGCCGCGATGCTTCCATGCTTTGTTGATGGGATTTCTGCCATTTCAAGAGGGTTATGCCCTGCAAGTAGGCTATCCCTTGCTTCTATGCATTCTCTGCCTTTCGTTTTCCCGTCGTTACCCTTTTCCCCAGGCACCTCCACTTCGTTCGAGGCATACAGTACCCCAGTTTTAATTGAGACGCCTTTTACCTTCTTCGTCCCTTTCCCCGTAAGTTTCAGTCTTTTGTTTCCTTTCTTGCACTGTGCTCTGCATTTTGCTGGCGTTTGCTCTGCGCTCACAAAAAAAATGCCTGGTCATAAACTCCTTCTTGATCTTACGGATAGAGATGGCCTCCATTCTCTTCTTAAGTTGCGGTTATTGAACGCCTGGGGTTCGTATGGTTTGAAGGATCCATCTTACATCTTCAACTACTGTACGCTATGGAATGACGAAGAGGTAGCCTTTTTCTTCGCCAGATTGTTTAGTTGGTCTTTACTGACCTTTGCCAGGACCGTGTGCAGATCGACGTGGTTGTCTCACTGTCGTTACTGTTTTTGTTTGTTCTACAGGGGACTTTGATTCAAGGGGTTTCTCCTGCGAACTTGACTCAGCATTTTGCGCCGCTGTTGCAGCTCGGTTCTGTGTACTTGGTTAGCAATTTCCGTGTCCAGCCGCCGTCCACTGTTTATCGTTACTGCTCTCATAAACTGAATATTGTCCTCTCTAGAGATTCACGGTTTGAGGACGTCACTGACGCTTCACCTTCATTTTGGTACGATTCCTTTGAATTTGTCCCGTACTCCTCATTGCATTCTCGGGTTCGTCAGTCGGTCTATCTCACAGGTTTGTGGTCTTGCACTTTTGTATATGTATTCCCTGATTTCCCCGTCTTCTACACAGTTGTTCCCTTCTAATTTTCCATTTCCCAGTAGATGTTGTGGGCGCTGTGGTGAGTGTTACCGGTATTTCGCATTCCATCACATCGTTTGGCCGCAGTGTTCGTAGGGAGGTGGTTGTTCAGAATGAAAGGTTTTGCCCCTTATTTTCTTGCTGGTTTAGTTTTTGCGCTTACTCAACTTTTCCGTTGCATAATTATGTCCTCTGCTTACTTGGCCTTCCCTTTTGACAGCCGAATGCCCCTTGATATTACTCTTTGGAGTGAAATTGCGCGCTCACTTGATGGTGAGGAGTTGGCCCATCTGGGCCGTGCCGGTCCTGTTGTGCTTGCTATTACTGGCCTTCGTGTTACGGGTGCTACTAGAGGTATGGTTTTCTCATTGTTGTTCTTTTTCCGTTCTCATTTTGTACCACTCTGCAAATTGTGTTGATCCTGTTTGACTGCTTACCTGTTGACAGAGGGCTTTGCTTTGTCCAGTACTCCTGGTACACGCTTTGTTCTAGAACCGGTAGCTGACATGGCCATAGTGATCCAAACTACGTTAGTACTTGCCACTTGCCAGTTCATACTTTGATTGTCCCTGCTTCATTATTCTTTATTAGTTTCCTTTCCATGTAGGTTTTTCCCAGGGACAAATACGGTCCAGTATTATCCTCCAAGGTTCTCCACCCCTGCTGAAGCTGCAGCGTTTGAAGCTGAGTGCACCAAAACTATCTCACAGCTTCTTGGTCTTTGTGAACCGGCACGTGCAGATGTGAGTCTGTTATCAGTTATTGTTGGCTCTATTATTCTTTTAGTTCTTTGCCTGCTCTGTTCCGACTTTGAGAACTTGGAATGTTAGGTCGTGTTTTTTTTATGCGTCTATGTTATTTGGGTGTGATTTTGTATACCCTCTGTCAAGAGGTCTTCTGCGCCTCCCAGCTTGGTAGAATCACGCTTTTTAATGATCGTCATGGTCTGGTGCCATACTGTCCACTTATCTTTCTTGGTGTGTTGTGCTTTCTTCGGTTCCTGGTCTGTCTGCTACCTTTGCGCTCATTACTCGCTTCGTATTTCACCTGTTTTTGCTCATTTATTGCTTTTGTGTGTCCTGATGACTGCTTACCGGATGTGCCGTTGTTTATTTGTCTCCGTGGTTCATATTTCTTTGTTTGGGTGCTCGCATTTGACTTTTTTTTGTTAACAGAAAATTTTGCTTTTCACATTTGTTTTCCTTTCCTTTTTATACTTTTTCTGCTTTGCTTTTGTTCCTTTCCTGATCCTTTTGTAATCTCTGCAACAGAAAACGCGCTACCATTGTTCTGCAAAAGTAGCCTCTGTTGATTCTACCAGGCAGTGGTATTACTTAGGTTGTTCTTTGTGTTCCAAAGCAGTTAAGAACTATGAAGAGACTGATTACTGGTGTGATGACCATCTCCGCATTACACCGCAGCAAACCCAGAATTAGTACTGTCACTCCAACTTTTGTTTTTTAGTGAGTTTCTTATATTGTTTGCTTTATCCTGATGCTATTGTTTGCTGCTGTAGCTATAAAATTCGAATTACCATGGAGGATCTCACTGGTTCAGCAGCGTTCGTTTTACTTAATAAGGCCGCTGAGGCCCTGGTTGGTGTGCCTGCACCCAAACTTTCAGCGCGGTTTCCGTACGAGCATGGCCATTTCCCTCCGGAGGTCCTTGCACTCGACGGTTGCGCCATTGTGTTTGACTGCCAACTCCCTAAACCTGACTATTTGGCCCGTGGACCTCCAGAATTTACTGTTGTTTTCATCCAAGACAAGGCCACGCCTGCTCTGCGCTCTCCTCCATCTGCACGTCGTGTCACAGATGCACCGTCTCTTCCGTCGCAAGCTGCACGGTATGTTTTCCTAATGTAGAATGACTTTTCTATGCCATTGTTGTGAACTAATACCAAGTTTTTACAAACCAGTGTGCATGCTTCTACTCATGCGGCAACTCTTTCGCCTTCTGGTGTGAGTACTTCCCCATCCCCTGTGGACCCTGCTCTCCTCTGTACCCCACCTGCTTCTTCTCCAAGGTTATGATGGTTGCAGTCACAGTTATTTTTCAATCCCTATTTTTGTTGGTTCAGTTTCCATACTTTAATCAACTTCTTATTCCATGGTAATCGCAAACTGGTCGCTCCTTTGTTTTCTTACTCTTCTTTGCATTCCTTTATTTCAGTAGTTCGAGTCGTCGTACTGCTAAATTCTCAACAACATCTGCTATCTTGCCCAGGTAGTCGAGATCAGCCCTGTTATTTGTTTGGCTGCCCAGTTTTATATCTTATCTGTGTGTTTTCTTAACTTTGCAAGGCCTGATGCCGAACTGCCTTCTTCGTTAACTGGATCACTAACTAATGCTTGTTATGCAAGGTTTAGCGTTTACTTTGACTTTTTTTTATGCTGTACTTATTCTGTTTCGTTTATGTTTTATTACCTTTCTTGCTTATTTCCCCTCCTCTTTCGTAGGCCGAGGCTGCCCACTGTGCCCGATATGCCGCCCTTGTCCGTTCCATCTCGGTCAGTTCCGCCCTATTTCCTTGGTATCCTTTGTTTGTTCGCATTACTCAGGCTTTGTATTCCTGTTCTGAAGGCGGTCACATGGTCAGTGGCGTAGCCAGGATTTTGGGTAAGGGGGTGCCAATTTAAAAAAATTAAAATGACTATTAAGTTTTTATAGTGACCCACGACGATTTTTCATATTTTGAAAAGTCTGTAAAATACTTTCATCATTTAGACTATCAACAATGTCACTCTCAATGTATCCTACCAAAAAATCATTCATGAGATAATCACTCATTCTACTCCGAAGAGTGTTCTTCACGTAGTTCATTGTCGAAAATACTCTTTCAACACTTGCAGTGGCGACTGGTAGAAGCAATGCTAACTTCACAAGAAGATACATAGATGGAAATCCCAGATGAAGGGTGGGACTGGGTCTGGGAGAAGTCTTGCTTGTTAGGGCTGAAGTTCCGATTATTGCTTGAATAAGGATACAACTATATATTTTTTAATTTGATTTATTTATTATTTGCAACGGTAAATTAATTATATACATGCAATAAAATGTATTGGTGTATCACATAAGTAATTGTGGTTTAATGGAAGACGCCAAAACTAATAATAAGGGGGTTTCATGTTCAAATCCTAGTTATAGCATAAACTAATACCCCTATTTTTTGATGTCCTAGTTCTAATTCAAGGGTGTGCCATGGCACACCCTAATTATAAGCTGTCTCCGCCCCTGCACATGGTTCTCAAGCTGAACTTATTCCGCCAAAAGCTCCCGTGCCTTCTCGCAAGACAACGACAAAAAAAACGCCGCCCAAAAAAAGGTCTGTATTGGCTAAACATGATACTTCACTGTCCTGTTCCTTCTTTGCTAATTCCACCTTTCTTTTGTTCTAGGAAAGCCAGCATTAAAGCTTCTCTATCTAAGAGTGTTGTCCCATCTACTTCGCTTCGGTTGGTTAGCCTTCCTTGATTTCTTTTGTTATGCCTCCATGTGTTAATTAGGATTGTTTATGTCATTCATTTTGTTTATGCATCGTTCTCTTTTCCAAAGTCAACGTGAACTGCATTTGTACTTTTTCAGACCTCACATACTACACTTTTGCTGTCTCTAATGTTCCTTTCAGTATTACTGTTTGACTGTTATTATTTTGTGTCTATTTCTTTTTGTATCTTTTACATCTCGATATCCAGTGATCAGATGGCTCAATCTGATCCTGATGAGGAACCTCATTCTCGTGTTCCTAGACAGACTTCAAATCGGCCTTATCGTAACCAGGTGGCGGAATCTGACTCAACTTCTCCGTATGTTTCCCAAAAAACTTATCGGATAATTCACATTTTTGTTTTCATGTGTTGTGCTTTCACCACCTGACGCTCTCGAATACTCTTGTAGTGACAATACGCCGCCGAGAATTACTCCTCAACGTCGCCGTCGTTTGGTTACTCGTGCCAGTACTGAACTTCTTGGATCGAGTTACGCTCTTCAAGCCGACGATGCTGCTGAGTTGGAGGATGTGCTATCTGGTGAGGATTTGGCTGCTGTTTCTGCGCCTCCAGATTCCTCTGCTGCTTGCGAAGCTGTTTTGGACCATTTGCCTGTCACGGTTGTTCAATCGTCGACTCCGGTTGATGACAGGCCAAAACGTTCTCGCACACCATCTAGGAAAGCCATAGAGTCTTCATCACAGTACATGGCCAAGCCGAAATGTCCTGCAAGGACTCCCCGTAAGAAGTCTGCTAAGAAGCAGTTATTCTCTAACTAGAACCCTACTTTCCTCGTGGGAGTGCAGTTTCCTTTCATGCTTTTGGTGGGTGTTTCTTAGCTAATCCCCTGTCTAGATACTTTCTGATGGTACTTGAGACCTTACGTCTTCTGTGTGTTGTTAGTCTGCCTGTTGATTACCGAACATTCATTTTGTTCTTCGCTGTGAGGGAATGCTGTGCAGGTCTGCCCATTTTGTGAATGTCAAACAGGCATCTAACTGTCCTTCTGTAATGTAAACGCTACGATTTATGCTTTCCAGCCAGTATTGTCCTCTGCTTTGTGCAGTCTATTCTGACCTTAAATTTTCTTGCTTTTTCTCCTCACTAATGTTGTCTTCCGTATTTACTGCGAAACCCTATTTACTTCGCTTGAGTCTATTGCCTTTTTGAAGCGCTGTGGCTATACGTAATATCCCCTCACTAGGCCAATTTCCAGATTCAGATGCTGTCTGTTGCCGATCACAAATTTCATAGGATTGCTGCGGATTGGTTTCCTTTTTCGCTTGCCTTTGTTAATGTCCTCTTGCAAAAACACATTCTGCATTATGCCGTGGTTAGAGGTTTTGTGGTTTAGGTGTACATCTAGCGTGCGGTTAACTACTCTAGCTGGCATGTTGAATCCTCAGTTACCGCCTCACATCGTCTTTTTAAAAACGTATCAGTGCCTTATGGTGTTCATCCACGGTTAAATGTTGTTTTCGGATGCCGTCGTTCCTATTGTGTTCGCTGTCCCTCTCTTGACAATCTAACATCACTTTTGTATTATAGTTGCACTTAGTACGCCTGTGGGTTTATTATTATTATAATTACCTTTCTTTATTTAACTCTGCCATGCATTAAATGCTCCCTGCCTCTGCAGTTTCGCCGGTCTTTCCTTGCCTCAGGTATTACATTCCTCCACTCAATGATTACTTATCACCTTCCTTTTCTATCTTAACGTTGCTACTTTAATTACATATTAAGTAAGCCTTATTCTGTTCATCATCTCTTATTGCATCATGTTTCTCATTTGTAGACTTGCTGTTTTTTTATTTGTCCATTGAACAAAACGTCGGCTTCTCCTCTTATGCACTTTGCCAGCCATGTGTGATCACCGTTTGTTTCCTTTCTGGATTATATGAAACCTTCCTTCATTTAGACTTTTGCGGTTCTTTTTCACAGAACTTTCCTCGACTGTTTGCTCCTCTTGGATATGGTCAGTCTTCCAGGTCTTTAATGTCTGCTTGTCGCCTATTTATTTCCCTGCTCCCTATTGTTGGTATCTGTTTTGACAGATTTACTTAATAACTCTCCTCGCAGGCTTCAGCCAGTCAAACTTCGAACCTCATTCCTGCACGTTCACTTTCTAGAAAACGACACTGTGCTGTACTGTCCGCTGCTTTTGTTCCGAGAACACCGCCTACAGGTCATCCTGTCAAGCGACGTGTCTGTAGATATGATCGCCGATCGCGGCAGTTACCGGAGTTGGATCTACCTGCTGGTACCTCTCTTTCTCAAACAAACGTACAGATTCCAGAGGTTACCGATGATGCTCTGCCACCTCCGCTCTCTACTATCTTAGAAGGTTCGCATGGTGCTTCTGATGCTACTCTGCCACCTTCACAACAGGCTGAATTTACTAGAGTTCTCAATCACGGTTTCCCAGATTATGAGTGCCAATACTGTGGTGCCCGCTTTTGGTATGAAGAACGCCTCAATAGACATCGTTCTGCTGCTCCAGTTTACACGTTGTGTTGTCAGAAAGGACGTGTACGTCTCCCTTTCCTAGAAGAAACTCCTCAGTATCTGGAACATTTATTAGGTGTCAATGGTGGGCCTATGGCTGCTCATTTTAGAGATCATATTCGGGCTTACAACGCAGCATTCTCCTTCACATCGTTTGGTGCTCAACTTGATCCTCGAGCTTTCCAGACACGTGGCCCATACTCATTTGTCATTTGCGGTGAAAACTATCATCGTATGGGTTCGTTACTTCCTGTTGCTGGCCGCCAGCCAAGGTACTCACAACTGTATGTTTTTGATCCGCAGACTGAGCTGGCGGACCGCCTAGCGAATTTTTCCTCTTCAGAGCATTCATTGCGTCCAGATATAGTTACCGGACTTATGAAGCTGTTTGACGTGACCAATGAACTGGTCAAATCTTTTCGAAGGGTGCGCAGCCAGTTATTAGATCCAGCCTCCGCAAATTTGCGACTAAGGATTGTTGGAGCCAGGGACACAACATCTCGCCAATATGAACTCCCAACAGGGGCTGAGTTAGCTGGATTGATTCCTGGGGATTTCCTTCCTGATGATGAGGGGCGAGACATCATAATTGATCATTGCTCAGAGGGTCTTAAGAGGATAACAACCGTCCATCCAAAATATGATGCTTTGCATTTCCCAGTGCTTTTCCCATATGGGGAGGATGGTTTTCATGTTGGCATCCCATACGACCCGGTCCACACTGCACCAACACTTAAGCGTAAGTTTGTCACTCAACGTGAATACTATGCTTTTCGTCTTCAACATAGAGATGACGAGGGCCAAACATTGATTCGAGGAGGCAAGGCTTTACAGCATTATGTTGTCGATGCATTTGCTACGGTTGAGCAGAATCGTTTGTATTATCTTCGCTCTCACCAAGAAGATCTTCGGTCCGAATTGTACTATGGTCTTACTGATGCTTTCAATAGAGGTGATGTCACCGGGGATGCTGTTGGCCACGTTGTCTTGCCATCATCATATACTGGTAGTCCTAGGTATATGAAACAATTGTATTTGGATGCAATGGCAGTTGTTCACCACCATGGTAGCCCAGATCTTTTTATTACTTTTACATGCAACTCACAGTGGCCGGAGATTACAGAATCATTTCGTGATATATGTGGATCAAGGAGCGAGCTCAAACCAGAAATTGTTGCTAGAGTTTTTAGAATGAAACTAAACGCTTTGGAGGATGAGTTACATCGATCGCACTTCTTTGGGAAAACGGTTGCAGGTAACTTCAGTAACTGTTGTTGGTTCTGTTCTTCTATCCACATTTATAATTGATTGCCGTTTTGTTTCATGGTTCCCTCTCTGTTTGTTGTGTTTTAGTGCAAGCCAAGTTTGGTTTATTACATTGCGCTATGTCTCTGTCTCACCTATTTTGTAGGCATCAAAACAGTCGAGTTTCAAAAACGAGGTCTGCCCCATGTTCACATATTATTGTGGTTAGATGCCAAAAATCGACTTAAGACACCTGCTGATGTTGATGCAACAGTATGTGCTGAATTGCCAGATCCGATAACTGATCCCGTTGGTTATGAAGCAGTCACAAAGTTCATGGTTCATGGTCCATGTGGTTCTGATAATCCAGCAAATGTTTGTATGAAGGATGGTTCGTGTTCAAAGTACTTTCCAAAGGCATTCAATTCAGAGACAACAACAGATCAATTTGGGTACACAGTCTACCGTCGTCGTGATTCGGGGATAACAACTACGAAAGGGACCACTCAGCTTGATAACAGATTTGTTGTTCCGTACAATCGGAATTTGCTTGTGCTCTTCCAGGCCCATATTAATGTGGAGGTTTGCCATCAGGGCCGTTTGATTAAGTACCTGTTTAAGTATATCACAAAAGGCCCTGACCGGTCTATGGTTGTGGCTGAGAATCCTCCACAGATACCCGATGACTCATATGCTCATGGTTCGGTGCCGCCGCTGGATGAAATAAAACAGTACCTTGACTGTAGGAGTCTATCTTCATATGAAGCAGCATGGCGCTTATTTGAATTTCCTGTTCATGAAAGAAATCCAGCTGTACAGCGATTGTCTGTCCATCTTGAGGGGCGCCATTGCGTTCCGTATAGGAAAAAACAGAAGTTGTCACGCATCTTGGGTCGTGATGCGGTTACAGAGACAACACTAACACAGTGGTTTGCCTTGAACCAACGGGATACAGATGCTAGATCTTTGTTGTATGCTCAAACTCCCAATAGGTATATTTGGAATTCGAGGACCAAAAGATGGTCAAAGCGGAAAAGAGGTTTTTCACTTGGCAGGGTGGTTTACATTCATCCTGGGTGCGGGGACACCTTTTACTTGAGACAGATATTGACCAAGATTCGTGGAGCTCTTAGCTATGCTGATCTACGAACAGTTAATGGTTTTCCATGTCGAACATATCAAGCTGCTTGCCAACGATTGGGCCTGTTATCTAATGATGATGAATGGCTGCTTGTGATCAAGGAAGTTAGTCAATGGGGGATGTGTGGCCTTCTAAGGTATTTGTTTGTCTCCATGTTGATGTTTTGTGAACTCTCTGATCCACTTGAGCTCTTCAATCAGACTTGGGAGCTGCTTTCTGAAGATATCACATATCAGTGTCAACGTGAGGTTGCCTTCAACAACGATTTAATTCCGTCTGAACTGCCAAAGAATAAATTGTTGTGGGAGTTGCAGCGTATGTTGGATACCTACTCGACAACGCTTGTGCATTTCAATCTCCCGGTTCCTACAGTTCAGCCACCATCTCGTGCGACTTTTTGTCCTCCTGAAAATGTTCACCGTCGTGGAGGTCACTCAATTCCAGCTTCTTCGCTGCCCACTCTGGAAAATTTAAATCCTCAACAGGCGTGTGCTTTCCATTCCATAATGGCCTCTGTTACTTCTTCTTTGCCACATCAGCCTACCTTTTTCTTCCTATATGGGCATGGTGGAACTGGTAAAACCTTTGTTTATAGGACGATACTTGCACGCTTGAAAGAACTTGGTCAAGTCGTGCTTGTGGTAGCTTCTTCGGGCATTGCTGCAACATTACTTCCCGATGCAAGTACAGCTCATTCTAGATTTAAAATACCATTGGAGATCGATCATGCTTCTTCGTGCAATATAAAAAAGGGTACGCCACTTGCTCAGTTGATAATTGATGCCTCGCTTATTATATGGGATGAAGCTCCGATGGTGCATCGATTGTCTTTTGAAGCAGTTGATCGAGCTTTTTGTGATATTATGAATGTTCCTTTTGCTGGGGAACATTATACGCCATTTGGAGGGAAAATTGTCCTGCTCGGAGGTGACTTTCGCCAAACGTTGCCTATTGTCGCTGATGCTGGAAGAGAGGAAAGCGTTGATGCTTCATTGACACGATCATATCTCTGGAGTTTCTGTACTATTCTCAGGCTGTCTCAAAACATGCGCATTATACCTTCCTCAGTAAATGAAAGACTTGCCTTTAATGGAATGAGCTTCATTGATTGGACTCTTTCTATTGGTAATGGGGATGTGGGAGGAACCTCATTAGGTCTTAATCAACCGGCTGACTGGATACAGATTCCAGAATCTCTTATCATTCAGAATACTGGAGCGCCCATCCAGTCCATAACCTCGGAGATTTATGCTGACTTTTCCAATCAGTTTCATAGTGCTTCCTACCTCACTGAACGGTCTATTGTTACACCAACTAATAGCAATGTTACCGAGATCAATTCTCACATGTTGGCTTTGGTGCCAGGTAGAGGACAAACATATTTTAGTAGTGATACTCTGCATACAGATGCGACCGATCCAGCTCGCCTTGAGGCAGAATATCCCACAGAATTCCTAAACAACCTCTCCTTTAATGGATGTCCGGAACACCAAATTGATCTAAAGGTTTTCACACCAATCATGCTGCTCCGCAACTTGAATCCAGACATCGGACTGTGTAATGGAACGCGCCTTATGGTCATTTATTTGGGCCATTATGTTATCAGAGGGGTCATTATGGGTGGAACATTTGATGGTAAAACTGTAGCCATCCCAAGAATAGTACTCAATGTAAATGATCATCGGTGGCCGTTTGTTCTGAAACGCAGGCAGTTCCCCATCCGTCTTTGCTATGCGATGACGATCAATAAGAGCCAGGGGCAAACACTACACAGTGTTGGTGTGTATCTCCCAAAGCCCGTCTTCAGTCATGGCCAGTTATATGTTGCTATCTCTCGAGTCAAATCTGCTGCTGGATTGCGTTTCCTCATTCTTAATGATGATAAGACTCCCTTCAATCATACTCGAAATATTGTTTACAGCGAAGCATTTACCGATCTATAAGGTACTGCCTGTCTAAAGTGAGCTGCTATATGATGCCATGCTTAAGTTTGCTCAATTTATTACTTCCAGAATATATGTGTGGTTAAATAAATCCATTTGGTTCATTATGTATTATTATGACATCATGATGTGCTTGCATTCACAGATCGGCTTCGGATTCGTCCTTGTGTGCTTCTGCTTGGAAAATCATTCAGCTGCTTTTGTGGTTGTGTTGTGTCTCCTGGATAATTCAGGTTGCCTTTTGCAGTTTGACTGAGCCTTTCTTTCCTCAAACTGGTCAGTTGACTTTCGGACCCTCCTATCTTCTTCTTTTCCTCGGGTTACACGCATTTTTGTTGCTGAACATAGCCAGTTAGATGCACTGCATATCGATTCATTTGACAAGAATTACCGTACTTATGTCTATATTTTTTTGTTTTTGTGAGTTTCAGCGGTTTACAATCTATTAGGTCCTATATTTGTTGTGTACGTCTTTTACCAAAAACAGAATGCCAGTTTTACTTGGTCTCTATGTTATTGTTTACCTGCCTGTTTCTCGACTATCTTTTTAACTTTTAGCAGTTAATTTCATGCCATTAGTTTGCTTCCCTTCATTTCCAAATTACAATGCGATTTCCAACGTTTAGATTCGAAGCATTGTGGTTTCTTGATTTAGTGTCGCTCTTTTTCAGCAGACTTTGATTGTTAGGCTCACTACTCCTTTTCCACCTTGCTATCCTATAGGGATGACTCATTTGTAATGTTTGTGATGTGTATAGTATAGCTGCTTCTTCTTAATTTAATCATGTATTAGCAGGCACTGACCAGGTTAGTGTTTGTATGCAGGCCACGAAGTCTTTTTGGTCCTTTTTCGAAATGGTCCCGATGTCATAATACAAAAAAAGGATCGGTTTGCATCAATTTTTGGTGGTTGAAAAAATCATTCGATTTCTTGGTATTGCTATACTTTTGTCGCTGACTATGAGGGAAATGGTGAGGTGTGGCAATGCTTTCTTTACCATTTTCAAAATTGACGTAATCTTTCCGTTTATAATTTGTATATAGTTTGATGCATTTATATAACTTTTGGTAACCATTATTGGCATATATAAACGTAATCAGATAAACTTGCTTACTTAGTGTTCGGGCTTGTGTTTGTTGTCGTTTTATTATTTATGTTGTTTATTTTGCTTTCTCAGGTCATGGTTTATCATAATTGGCCTTTTGAAAAAAGAATTGTTTTCTTTGTTGTTGGTCTTATTTAATAAGTATTCTTAACAGTTTATGATTCCAGTTGTTAAAATTACACTGTTGCTTTCAAATGCATGCTTTACTCTTCGTTATAGAATGTCCGAAAGTAAGGTTCGTTTAGGTGCACTTCTTAAACACAACAAATATCTCTAGCCTACCCAAAACAACAACCGAAGACCTAATTTCATTTGAGGTCTATACTGAACCATGTTTCGGTTTTCCCTTTTGATTTAGCTTCCGCTGCTCATGTTGCTCGCAAAAAAAAAAAAAAAAACTTTATGCCCAAAGGATATACCAATTAGACTTTCGTACATGACTAGGTGGATACCATGCAGTGCCGCGCTTTTCTTCCTATGTGTGAATTTTTCGTATCGCTTGTGTACTTTCTGCGTGGAAAGTCATCTCTGTATAACAAATGACACCAATTTACAGCAAACCATATTCAGATATCTGGTGTTCACCAAATGGGACGTGACTCACTATTACCAGATGCAAATTATCTTGACTTTCTCTTTTCCGGCCTGTTTAGGCTCATTCATGGAGCCCACTCTGGACCGAGAATTCGGATTCAGTACCCGGCACAAAACGCGCCCTTCCTAACTGGTTTACAATTACAGCCATTTCATTCCTCCTTACTTGCCTATCGTGGGTGGAACTGGCCCATTCTTTTTATGCTCGGCCCAATTGATAAAACCCTATCCAATGCATTCCTTTCCCATATAAATCATCGATCCGTCATTACCTTTCCGCACCTTCGCAATATCGTTTGTCATTACTGCCTCGGCCGACCGATGTCAGCCGATTACACAATCGCATGGGCTCCTAGAGGTTTCTTCCCGAATTTCCCTTCACGCCTTTCATAAGATTATCCATCAACTGCTTGCCTAGCTATTCGTAATAGTTCTGTTTTCTTGGTCAATTAGATCTGCCTTCCGCGCCTCTGACAGTTAGATCACTCCGCCTTGGGCATAATGAAGGTCCCATCATCCTTCGCCTTCTCAATCGCTGGCCAGAAACAGACTACTCTATTTGCTCACAAACGATGATAGTCCACATGCTGTTGATCGATAGGAATGTACGTTCTCATCTGCATTGCCCTGATTACTTATATTATTCTGTTAACACTACCTTGCCTTTGTTTGACTCAGGGTGATCTAATTGAGGGGTTTGTGTATCCTAAACGGGCACATTGTACAGTCGACTCTTTGCCGATCGATCAGATCTATGTTTTGCCATGGGTCAGGGCAGTCGAAAGGCGTCCCGCCAATCGAACATGTAGCCATTCATTGCGCCTTCAGATTCAAACCGAGACGGTTCTTAAAGAACTGCACGAGCTACCACCATATCAGTGGTTTCCGAAGATAGGATTTAGTGCAACACCATTCTCTGAACTGGCCCAATATGTAGATTCTGTAGTCGAGTACAAAGGTACCCACCTTATTTAAATAATTATGCTCTTACAGGTTACTGAGATCCCTATTACATTCCCTTTAGATATTGTTGGGCGCCTGGTTAGCATATCGAGTAATGAAGATGATACAGCAACACGGCAGAATAGATCTGTAGTTCTGCAGGACCAATTGTACGTCTTTTGTAATACTTATGTTTTCCTCCTCTTGCTATATATTACAAACTTACGCATGGTTACATGTGTGTTTTTTTGTACAGTGGCGAAAGCATTTTGGTTAGATATGCTCACCCTCAGATGGTTTTTGCAAAACCATTTATAGCAGACCTAGAACGTCAGGGACCAGTTGTGTATGCAATTACAGCATTGCGTGTTGTTCAGCTGAAAGGTGCATTTTGTGCGCGTTTTTGCGCTTCTTTACTTCATTTTCTTTAGTCTTAGTTCAAAATCTTTATTAAGTCTTAACAGAACGTGGTGGAAAATGCTTGATGACCACAAGGGGATCCAGGTGCATCGTGGCTTACTACACAAAGCCCTTCAAGCAGATAAAGGATTGGTCAAGTATCTCTGTCTTTTTGTTCCCCAAAAAACACTTTTCAATTTGACTCAACACGTACACATGATTCGCCTGCAGTTTCTCACATCTGCACTGTCCTGTACAACTTGGTCACGGTCCAGTTCCATCTCCACAGTTTCTTCGACCCAGTATGCCCATGAAGACAACAATTCTGCACCTGTTGACTACACTGGACGCCTTGCCCAGACCATATGATGTATGTTTTTTAGCACTTTTACATTGCCTTTTCACTATGAATGCTCAATGCTGATATTGTCATGTTAAATGTTTCCACAAGTTGTCTGTCTGGTGCTTGATTAGGATCAGATACATTGAGAGAAACCAGAGGTTCTGTCATTGTGAATCTGATGGTGATGATCCATATTTGACCACTTATTCATACAGGTATATATGGAACTCACGCTAAATTTCTATTGCAGTTTTTTATATTATTTGACCCTAATATGTTGTCGTTCATTTAAGGTTTAGGGTCGCATGTGAAGATATATCATGCCAGGGTACAACCAAGACGTACGATCTTCTCTTTGGCCATTATGCAGCAACTGCACTTTTGCAAAATTGTGCACGAACTTTTGCTACTATGAGCGACGACTTGATGGTTCAAGTTTTCGATTCTCTTCAGGGGAAGCTATTCGTAGCAGAGATTATGCCAGATTATGATGCAGATTATTTCAACACCATACTTCATACCGTTACCATATGGGATCCATTAGCATATGCGATCATGCCTTGATATCGATTGTTTTTGTAAGGTTTTAGCTATGTGTTTTCTATTTAGGAAGACCTTAAGTCAGGACCTATTATTGTTACACTATATGTTTCCCCATATTTTCGTGCAAAATGACACATTTCTTCTGTTTAATGTCCGTACTTCTCTCTAATTTGCGTCCTGTATAGGTGAGTTTGTCCCGGTTCATAGATATACAGTTAGTAGATGTACAGGGATGTTTTTAACAAATTTAAAAGACTTTTACTGCACTATATAAGTGCACGGCATAACAACCCTGCATTTAGCCCGGTTTTAAGCGACCCGTTTGGATTTATAGTAAGCGCAAGACAAAACTATCCATGTCGAATATACGATCCGTCAAAACCCGATTGGGCCGGCCCAAGATCTATGCATACCTTTTCTATAGGGTTTCCTACTCGCCGTTCTTATCCTCAATCGAAGAACAGGCGCCACAACAGGCTGCAGCTCCGCCATGAATCGGGGAGGAGAAATCCATCGCTTGCGTTTTGGATATACTGACGCCGCGATTCAGTTCCGTTATTTACATACATGGCGAGAAGAATCAGCAGAAGATCGTCAGGCCCATCATCTTCTGCTCGACAAACAGGTTTTCATCTGCACTTTTTGTTTTAAAAATTGGTTTCTTTTCTTTACTAGATTCACGATGCTCCTAAATCATGATGTGTGCAAGGGAACTATGATCGTTGCTACAGCAGATGACACAACATGGCAATCGGAACTATCACATCTCAGGCCCGGTCATATCTACAGAATTTCTTCCTTCTTTGTAAGTCCTGCAAGGATGGTGGGTCGTTGTTGCTCGAACAGTCAAGAATTGCGCTTTTCCCGCAACACTACATTCCAAACTGTTCTTGAGCCCCCATCATCAGAGTACCACCCCACCAACATGTCGGAACCAATTCCTTTCATAGACCTCTATAGTCGTGCATTTGTCAACAAGGAAAGATCAGGTGCTTCATTGCCCCTGTCAAGTATGTTTCCTAATATTTAATCAAAATGTCTGACCAGAAGGTTTTTTGTTGCACCGCCATCAA